AGGAAAGGTAGCAGAATACAACAGTCACTAATATGCCATTATGTAAAAATGTGAGTATGTAACAGAAGTGAGTCTGTATTATGTATTTGGGGAGTTCAAAACCCAATTGAGTCGAATGTATGAAAGATGATATGTCTTGAGCTCTGTAATGTTTTGAACAATCAATAAAAAAAAAAAGAACTTAAAAAAAAAAAACCCTTCAGGACTGGGTGCTGTGGTGCACACCTGTAATCTCTGCAACTCAGGAGACTGAAGCAGAAGGACTGCAACTTTGAGGCCAGCCTCAAAAATTTGCTGAGACCCTCAGCAACCTAGCAAGACCCTGTCCCAAAATAAAGGAGAGCAGGGGAAGTGGCTCAATGATATAAGACTCCTGGGTTCAACTCCCAGCACCCCAAAAAAAAAGAAAGAAAGAAAGAAAGAAAAGAAAAAGACAGCAAATTCTTAAAGAATCTCTTAAATGAATTATGTAAAATCAGGAAAGTGTTTAGCATATCAGTATAACAGCAGCTACATACTCAGCACTTTCCATGTTCCAGGCAGTGTTGGGAGTGCTTCCTCCTCTGTGAACTCATTCCATTCTCACAATGACCTGTAGCATAGGTGCTGTTTTCATCCCCAGATGAACTGCCTGAGGCAGAGAGTTTAGATAACTTGCCATAGGTCACACAGCCAGTAAGCGGTGAACTCAGGCAAGAATCCAGGTAGTCTACTATACCTGGCACCAGTTTAATCAATTGTCTATCACTTTCAACAGTGCAAATATTTCCTCTGTAATCTTGTTCAGACCATTAACTGACTTCTGGAAAGGAAAAGGACACACTTGTGCAGCAAGCTTTATTTAGTTGAAGTAACTGTACAGGGATAGCCTGCTAATTCGAAAGGCTGCACTGTGCAAGCCTTCCAGAACCAAATGTCTTCTTCTTGCCCCAGATCGCAGTCCTGCCCGGAGCCCTGCAGCTGGCTCAAGTCTACATCGCTCCACTGAGGACCTGAGGATGAGGCAGAGCGCAAATTATGGACATCTGCGTGAGTGTATCCTCTACCACTCAGTGACAGCTTCGTTCTGATCATTACAGCTATGGAATGTCCATGTTTTCATAGATGGAGGAGATGGAGGACAGGATCTATCTAGAATTCTCAGAACATGTACCAGGAGAAATTGAACTTTTACTCTAATTTGGGTTGTTCTGAGGGTCTGATTGACTCCTATATTATTCCAAATAATTCCTCTGAACAATGGAGCTCAAAGTCAATCCCTGGCATAACTGATACCAACCCTGTGTTCTAGGCATGTTTCTCTTAGTCTAAACCTTGTTTTCATCAAAACGATGACTTGCCTTGTTTTCTGGTGAAAAGTCTTCCTAGAAATGGAATTAAAAACAGGTGAGATCCTTTCCCCGAAGGTCAATTAGACAGTATTTCCATCCCTGATGACAATCTTTCCAACAGGAAAAAGAAATGTGAGCAGAGTTGTTGCCTTTTATTTGCTAGGAATGGATTAGGGGGCTTGTGAGGTAAAAGGTCACTGACAGGTGATGATCAGGTGAGCTATGAGGAAAGAGAGAACTTAGAAAATGAAGAGGAAAACAAAAAGCAATGTGGAATATTTTCCTTCAACTACTTTTACTAAAATTCTGACATTTGAACAGGTGCAGCCCAAGACTGTGCCACTGACCAGGTTGGAGGAATGACTTGGGGACCATGTGCCTCTGCCCATGGCCTCTACTACTGAAAGCTCATTTTTTCTTTGTACCAATGCCTGAGTCCCAAGTCTCCTACCCTGTTATTCCACATAGGGCTGCTAGGGGACAGTGGGTCAGTACACAGAATGGGGATTGGGCAGACCTTCCCTTCATTATCATGGGAATGCCATGCCTCCCTGCTTCCTGGTGGGAACCCCAACAAGAGGCATGAGTAAGTGACTACAGGTTTATGTGAACTGTGTCATAGTCAAGGTGTGCACCCTACCCCATGATCACCCACTGAATGGACCACAATGGAGAAACCTCAGTGAGGAGGGAACACACAGCTGAGTCTTGGAGATAAACAGGTTTCCAGAAACAAGGGGGAGGAAGAGGCTGTTCTAAAACAGACACAAACAGCAGGCAAAGGGAAGGAGCTATCAAGGGAAAGAACACTGGTTCAGTTCACCAGGTGCATAAGGGTTAGAGGAAGAGAGTGTCAAATCAAACAGGGCCTTGTGTGCCCAGAAAAAGTACCCAGACATCATTCTGAGGGTAATGGGGACCACTACAAAGCTCAAAGCAGGAGCAGGCCATAATCAGATTTTTATCTGAGAAGAATAAACAAGAAATGGGCAAGACTGAAAGCAAGAGACTGAGCCGGCATTCAGGAATACAGAGGAACGGACCAATGTGGCATATAACCACCTGTGAGAGTAGGAGAGGAAGAAGAGGGAATAGCCACAGCTGGCTCCTAGGTTCCTCTCTGAGTGACCGGTAGGCGAGAGGGAGGAGGCATTAAGTGGAATTGAGCCTGTGGGGAGAATAGTTTGGTGGGAGATAATGAGTTGAGTTTGAGGTGTCAGATGAGGCTGCTCTAGTGAGTCTGGAGTTCAGAAAAGAAGGGACTGGAGATCCATCCTCAGTATCATCAGGCCATATTTGCAGTAGGAACACCAGCAGTGAATATGATTGGCCAGGGAGGGAGAGGTGAGGCCTCTGAGGGCCTCTTGACAAGACAAGACCCCGAGGCAAGTCAAGAAGGAGAGGATCCTGGGATGGAAACAAGAGAACAATGTTCTGGAAGCAAGAAGTGATCATAGGCCAAAATCAAGAAATTCTAGATCTGAGAGGGTCCACTGGATTGGCTGCTTGTGGGAAATGAAAACTGAATCCCAGAGGAAGGAACTCTTGGCAGTTCAGACAATACTTCAACTGTTGGAAGCCCATCTCCCTTCCCTCTTTCAGCCCCTCTCCAAACACTGTCATGGGTCATGGAGGATGGAGGTGAAACGAGTCTCTCTGATTGACATATTTTAAGCTTAGTGACATCTGGCTCCTCATCTAAAACTGCATCTCTGTACCTTCTCACATCTGGAACAGACATCTTAGTTAAGTCCAAGAAGTTGAAGCCAAGAGGTGGAGACCAGAGTGAAGTAGATTCAGAAGTGAGAAGGAAGAAGAGGAACCAGGAGTCTAGTTATTCTTTCAAGAAAGTCACCATTGAAGGGAAATAGAGTGAAAGGATATTAGCTTAAGGGGGCTTCAGGATCAAGGGGAGGAGTTCTTATTTCTTTTATAAACATGGGAAAGGAAGGAGTAGGAAAAAGGACCTGCAAGATCCTAGCTTCCTCTAATGACTTTCTTTTCCTTTTCTCCTAGGTCACGCCCAGAGCAGAAGTATGAATGACATCTCTCACACCCCAAACACAGACCAGGTAGAAAAGCCCCTCAGCTTGGCTGCAGTGGAGGGCTGGGCAGGCAGAGCCTTTGGGTTTCTTTCAGGGGCAGAGAGCTCCTAGGGGAACAACAAAGCTGTGGCAGTCCCCAGGAAGTACCCTTGAGGAGGACTCTGGGCTGCCTTGGTGACTGCCTTGCCCATGAGTCAGGTACTGACTGAATTTGCAGTGCTGGCTCTGTTCTAGGCTGGATGGCCAGGAGTGGGGGACAGATGAGGTACCAGCTGTCCTTGAACTCAGGATTTGCTGGAGAGAGAGGACACAGCAAGAACATATAGCTTCACCTTCACCTCATGTCCCAATTGTACCTTTAAAGATGGGATAGGAATTGAGAATGGCAGAGAGGAGGAAGAGGGGCCTCCCCATGGAGGAATTGATGATAGCTAATTAATTGGACTATCCAGTGGTAAATCTTCTTTCTTAGCGAGGGCAGGAGAACATTGACCTAGTCTCCCACAAGCTGGGTTTCTTGATGAGATCAGAATACCACAAAAGGTTGAGTCTAAGTCCTAAGGCCCACAGCCAGGAACTCAAGGGCCTTACCACCTGGGGAAGCTCACAGGAGGACCCCTCGATCCTGACCTCCATGTATCTCAAGGGCAGGATATCCTGTGCCCCAGAATAAGTAAGGAAGGTGACAAAGAAAACTGAAACAAACTCCCTGAGGAAGGGGATTCTGGACTGCCTTGGTGACTCTGCCTACTCCATCAGCCAGGTACTGACTGGGTCTGGCTAGGGTGTTGCCCCTTCAAGGTACCCCCAAGTCTGGTGGAAATCAAAACAAAAGCAGTCATCATATCCAAAATACTAAAATAATAACAATAACATGAACCAACATTGAGGGTCCATATACAGCATGTACTACACTGAGCCCAGCATTTTCTGTGCATCATGAAGGCAACACCATCATCCCCCTTTGACCTATGAGAGAACATTGAAGCTGGACATGATTAAATAACATGTTTATTAGGCCATATTGCCAAGAGGTGGCAGAACCATGACCTGACCCAGGCAGACTGACTTTAGGTGCTTACTTGGGAACAATTTAGAAAGCAGTCAGTCTCCTGAAATATTATTTGAAGAGGAACACCACTTCATTATAGTCATGCCCACTGACAATGGAGTCAGGATAAGAAAGCATTACCTAGAAAGATATTTCATAACTTACTTTAGTAAAAGTCTCAGTGGAGTTAATAATACTGACTGTCACTTTATGAGGCAATGCTTTGATTTAAGGATTGGACCTTAGCACCTGGTACCAGAATGTTTCTCCTGAATGGCACCTGATGCTGCTTCTCAATATTTGTGACGTCAGTGCTTGGTACCCCTTTATCTATTCTTTAGGTGTGAGCCCAGAGGCATTGGCCCTGCACTCTGTCTCCATCATTGGTTTTGCAGGGTTAAGCTCCATGCCCACCTCTAGCTGGTGGGTTCCCAGTGAACAGAGTAGATTCACACAGCTCCCCCTGCTGCCGATCCTGTACTGCAGGACTAGGCCAGAGCCTCCTGGTTCAGGAAGTGAGGTCTCATGGATCCCTGGTTGGACAAGCTTGTACCAGGCGGTAGCCAAGTCAGTGTGACCAGAAAACCAGTATGACCCCATTTCTGTATTGCCACTACCCTGATTTCCTGATCAAATGTGTCACAACCTGCAAGAAAAGACCAAGGCCCTGTTTTCAATTCCTCTTCTTTTCTGGATTACAAGTGGGTGTGTTGGGCCACTCTGTTGTGGTGTTGCTCTCAAAGCCTCATTCTCCAGGGTGCTCCTACCCACCCCAACTCTTCTTTTCTCCCCTGGACTCCTTCTCCTCCCCCACCTCCCTCTCTTCTACCAGTCTGATGCTTGGGGGTGTGGGTGCTGGCATGGGGACAATGGCTTTCCTGGCACACCCAGCCCTCCATCCTAAAGAGCACTGCTTATTAATCAGCTGACTGTGCCTGAGACAAAGGGACTTTTTGAGTATTAGGGACTCTGGCCTTCCCATCAACTCCTGCCCTTGCTTATTCTCACCATGTTAGGATCTTCAGGACTGTTGCTGATTGCCTGGGAGGTTGTAGAGGTTTGTTTTCTTTCCCATTGAATTTAAAAGATTATAAGGGTGAAGGCCTTGTTCACGTGTTCTTCCTTGTGCTGGTGGACCACCCTATCCAGTGTGTATCATACCCTCCAAGAAGTAAATCAGGAAACAATTGGCACAGAGGGGAAGGACCTATTGGCCATGTCCATGCCCACCACTGACCCCTCTACTGGTACAAGAAGAGACACAGGGGACCTGTGTTTTCACTGAGCCTACAAGAAACAAATATTACTGTGCCCACTGGAGATATTACAACAGAGAGTAGACTGGAGGGCAATCATGATGTCCACAGAAGCTCCCTTCAACCCTGGCCTCCACCTGAAGGTGCTGGCCTCCACTCTGTGTATGCCACTGTAGACTGAAACTAGCCTTGCCCTCCCTCTCCTTCCTCCTACAATATCACCTCTGCCTCTTATCCATCCTCTTACTGCCTAATGAGTAGGCAATCTGAAAAAGTAATTTATTTTAGGATAAGGAGTAAGAAGAGCTTGTATGTGACTATCCCTGGGGCATTTTTATCATAAGAGGACTCAGGGGAAATAAAGTCATAAACAGAGAGAGTGGGAACAATACCTGGCATATCCGACCCTATCACTCTATTTTATCTTCCTGTCCTGTACAGACACTAGTCAGAGAGACTCCCCAGTCCCAGGCCATCTTGAGAGTCTCACCTGGAAAGTTGCAGAAGTTATGAGTTTCCTAGGAGGTCCTGTGGTGGTCAACCTGGGACAACTGCAGACTTAGAGAATGGTCACCAGTCTTCCTGTGACCAGGAAGCATGTGATGAGGGGAAAATTAAGCCATTCCTTGCTGGCCATCAAAATAGGCCTTACCCACCCTCTGACACCAAAAGTGACGCAGAGAGGAGAGGTCTGGTCAGCTGGACTGTAAATACTGAGATTCCCATCTGCTTGGACAAAGGAGGTTGTCCAACAGGTCTCAGGGCTCTCTTCTCAACCCCTTGACCCACACTGCAGTTAATCAGTCTTCTCCCATCAAAGAATACATCAAGGGTCAAGTCACTATCTGTATTTTCCCATCTGCAAAGACTTAATTGGTCTCTGGGGTTAACCACCATTCAGTCCCTCATCTGCAGAATCAAGGGAAGTGTTTGATTATTTCTTTTAGTCTTTTGAGAAGTACTGGGAAATTTTTTTAAGTTAGGCCCCCAGTGAGGGAGGAAGAGCATGTGGAATATTCTTGGGTATCTCATTTCCCCCTCCCTGAGCAGCGGAAAAACAAATTCATGAAGAAGATCCCCAAGGACTCAGAAGCCTCCAATGTACTTGTGGGTGAGGTGGACTTCCTGGATCAGCCATTCATTGCATTTGTGCGTCTCATCCAGTCTGCCATGCTAGGTGGAGTGACTGAGGTGCCCGTCCCTACCAGGTAAGAGAGAGCCTCAGAAACCTGCCACCATACCAGTCCTGAGAGTGCCAGCTGTCTGTGTGTTCAGCAATCTGTGCTCATAGGAACACCCCTTAATGTAGATATTTGCTGGACAAGAATTTGATAGTTTATTCAAAAGAATCATAGAAGAGAAGGTGGCAAGAGCAGAGGGAGAAGCATTTGGGTGGGCTTGGGCAGCAAGACAAAGGTGAGGATGCTCCAGGGGGAGCTTAGTGCAAGCGAAAAAGGAATGTTTCTCCAACAAAAAGATTCAAAGGAGGGAAGCTAGGGGCTGGGGTGTAGCTCACCAGCAGAGCACTTACTTGCCTAGCATGCATGAGGCCCTGAGTTCAATCCCCAGTACTGCAACATACACCAAAAAGGAGAGAACTTAAAAATTTAGCAATGGATACTATTGAGGACCAAAGAATCCTTCTCTTCCACTTGATCCTATTTTTATTTCTCATTTTTCTCCTCCTCCTTATACTTCATCTTCTTTGCAGATTTCTGTTCATACTGCTGGGACCTTCTGGGAGAGCAAAATCCTACAATGAAATTGGCCGTGCCATTGCAACCCTGATGGTAGATGATGTAAGTGGTGACTCCTGAATGTCATAGCTCCTGCACCAGCACTGTTCTTCATTCACTGAGTCATCTAACAGGCACATTTGAGCACCTACTGTATACCAGACCCTGTGCAGGGTACTGAAGATTATGAGATTCAGGGTCCTTTAGAAGCACCTATCAAGTGGGAAGGACACAGCTATAATAATAAAATTAACCATGTGCTAGCTGCCTAGACAGTCAAGGAGGGCTTCACAGATGAAGAAGCTGTACAACTCAGATGAGCAGGAAGTAAGTGGGTCCAGTACCAGCCTAGGAGACAAACCCTCCCAACGAAAGGAACAGGGATCAAGGCTCAAAGAAGCTGGATGGAAGTGATCCAGTACAGGCTCAGTATAAGAACTTTGAGGGGGCTGGGGATGTGGCTCAAGCGGTAGCGCGCTCGCCTAGCATGCGTGCGGCCCGGGTTCGATCCTCAGCAGCACCACATACCAACAAAGATGTTGTGTCCGCCAAGAACTAAGAAAAAATAAATAAATGTTAAAATTCTCTCTCTCTCTCTCTGTCCCCCTCTCTCTCACTCTCTCTTTTAAAAAAAAAAAAAAAAAAAAAGAACTTTGAGGACAGGAAGTGATACCAGAGAGGTGAGTCAGAGATTATGCAGAAATTTTGAGCAGATTCTAGAGTTCATGAACTCTGTCCCTAGAGTGATAGGCTGCCCAGAGGACTTTCCACATTGGCATAATCTGTAAGTCAGACAGCATGCTCTGGAGACAGCAGGCAACCTGACCCTCTAAGAGTGAAGGGCTAGAAAGTAATACATGGATTTGAAATATGAGCATCTTGGACTGGACTCTAGGTTTTCTAATGTGCCCCTCTGTGGAAAACTGAAACCAGAAGTGTTCAGCAATTCAACCAAAACCCTATAGAAGGAATATGGAAACCTGGGCTTCGGATAGCAAATAGGCTGTCTTGCCTTGGTGCTGGCTCTAATTGGGTCCTATTTTCCCCTGGAACTGTGTTCTCACCCACCACAAAACTGAGTAAGTTGGCAATGAGAGCAACAATTGAAAGTGATTCCATTGCAACTAGCTGTGATGTGCTCAGGAAGGTGGATAAGAAGGGAATATCAAAAAGAGAGCTGACCCTTTTTTTGCCCCTTGATCCTTGCCAGCTCTTCAGTGATGTGGCGTATAAAGCCCGCAATCGCGAGGATCTGATTGCAGGAATTGATGAGTTTTTGGATGAGGTCATTGTTCTTCCCCCTGGAGAATGGGACCCAAATATCCGAATTGAGCCACCCAAGAAAGTGACCTCGGCTGACAAAAGGTGTGTATATGAGTGGAAGGGATAGGGATGGGGAAATGAGGGAAAGCAGTTTTGTTGGTATCATTTTGTTTCTCTTTGTAAAAAATCAGAAATAAATATGGCTAAATGTGAACATTTGTAAAATTGTGGTGACCTCTGTGTGGGTATTGTTAGAGCACTTTCTGCATTTTCCCATCTTTTGAGATATTTATTGAAGACGTGAAGATGTTCCAGGGACAGTCCTGAAGGGCTGGGACTCTCCTAGCATTGGGAACCCCACTCGTTCCCATCCCTCTTCTCTTCCAGGAAATCTGTGTTCTCCCTGGCTGACGTAGGCCAAATGAATGGCTCCGTGGGAGGAGGTGGTGGCTCAGCTGGAGGAGGAGGCGGTGGTGGCGGTGCTGGTGGCGGTGGCAGTGGTGCAGGAGGCAGCGGGGATGATGGAGAGATGCCAGCTGTGCACGAAATTGGGGAGGAGCTTATCTGGACAGGAAGGTGCCTATCCCAGGCCTGAGAGAGACCCTGCTGTGCTTTCAACTTCTCTCCTTCCCACCACTTTTCCTTTCCCACCACTGGGTACAGCACCAACATGGGGCCTTAGAACAGACCAGTCTTTTTCTTTTTCTTAGTCTTTTTCTTTCTGAGCCCTCAAAGCCCCTCTTGGATCCTGAGGAGGGTTGCCAGAGTGGGGAATAGGAAATCTGACCCAGGAGTGGAGGAACCCAAACTTTTCACTAGACATCCTTTGGTACCTGTATTTATTTCCTAGAGCTGCCAAAAAAGAGCACCACAAACTAGGTGGTACAAAACAACAGGTTATTTGCCCACAGTTCTGGAGGTCAGAGGTTCAAAATCAAGATGTAGGCAGGGCCATGTTCCATTTGAGACTCTGGGTAGAATCCTTCCTTGCCTGCTCCTAGTTTCTAGTGGTAGCCTACAGTCTTCATCATTCCTTAGCCTGCAGCTGTGTCTCTTCAGTTTCTGTCTATGTCATCATGGGCCTTCTTCTCCGGGTAGGTCAGTCTCCATATAGCAATGCCCCTTTCTTTTTTCTTTTTTGTAAGGATACCCATCTTATTGGACCATAGCACACCCTAATGACTTCATTATAAACTTGATCAAATCTGCAAAGACCCTGTGTCCAAATAAAGTCATAAGCCCTAGGGGTCAGGGTTTTAATATATCTTTTTAAATATATTTTTGATATATTTTTTGATAAATTCTCCTAGCCTGGGTTCTTTGCCAGCTCTTAGTGTCTCTCAGGTTAATCTAGGCTTAAGAAAGGACTTTGAGAACAAAGTCATGCTTTATATACCCTTGGCTCTATACCAGTGATTTTCAACTGAAAACAACTTTTCCCTTCTTTAATCTTCACCCCACCCTCACTGGCTCCTGCTACTCTCTCTACCTTTTGGCTCAGGGAATTTGGCTGCAGACCAAATGTCTTTTCATTTGTCATAACTGGAGAGGAAAAGCTACTGGCATCTAATGTGTAGAGGCCAGGGATACTGTTAAATACCCTACAATACAAAGAGGAGAATCATTCCAATAAAGGATTATTCAGTCCAAAATGTTAATAGTACTGAGGCTGAGAAACCCTGATATAATAAGTACTGGTTTAGGAGCTCTATGGAATAGCATGCTCAATAAAAACTGTCTCCAAACCTAAATTTCCCACTCAATTGTTCCAGGGAGCAAAGAAACCAATTATCAAGGTTTGAATGTACCCTCAATGAGTTCACGTTATAACCTGGGATATCTCCATCTTCTATAGTTGGCCATACCTATATTTACCATGCACAGAGGCCCTGTAGATAGTCAGGGATGTGAGGATCACCACCATCTGAGGACCCCAGAATGTTCATTCCTATGGGATAGTCTCATCAGAACCTTCCTCCCTAAAACAAGTTATGTCCATCCTTCTCAGGGTGAATGGTGCTGACTACAAATTTTGGATCCTGCAAGAATTCTCTGGTTCCAAATGTGCTGGTGAAAAGATTCTTGTCTCTAGCCACCCCTGGTCAAATTCCCTTCCTCACCCCAGATTCTGCAGGACCCTAAAAATAGCCCTGCCCCTGCACTGGTGTTTGTGGTTTAAGAAAGCTACCCCTGGGCCTGTCTCAAACAGGTTCTTTGGTGGACTGTGTCTGGATATCAAGAGGAAGTTGCCTTGGTTCCCAAGTGACTTCTATGATGGCTTCCACATTCAGTCCATCTCTGCCATCCTATTCATCTACCTCGGCTGTATCACCAACGCAATCACCTTTGGTGGGCTTCTGGGAGATGCCACCGACAACTATCAGGTGAGTGTGAACCTGAGAGAAATTGTAAGTAAAATCCGCTGCCACATGGTGGCAGGTTTCAGTCATTGTCTAGGTTTATGCCATTCTTTTTTATAACTCTTTTCCCTTTCAAAAGAAAGAAGGAAGGAAGGAAGGAAGGGAGGGAGGGAGGGAGGGAGGGAGGGAGAGAGGGAGGGAGGGAAGGGAAGGAAATTAAATTAATAATTATTAAAAACCAAATTTAAGGATGATATAAATATGCCAACATTTAAAGGGGAATCATTTACTTTGTTATTTGGCACTTTACCCCCTGATAATTGAACTAACTTAATCAACACAATTAGTTGAGTTGTTAATTGTGAACTTCTCCCCACTTTTTTTTTAACACCAACTTTGATTTCTTAGCTTGGAGTTAAGACATTTATAGAAGGATGGTAAGTTGTTACCATGATAATAAGGCAGACCTCCCTGGGGAAAATAGCTCAGCAGAGACACCCTCCTTCCTCTCCAGTGAACACCTTATGGGGCTAGAGTCATTGGGAAGCTCAGGGCTCCAAGGAAAGGGCTCATTTCCCCAGATAGGTCAGATGAATGCCTATTGCCGCCCTTATCTCTCCTCTGAGTTTAAAGTTCCGTGTCCAGCTACCTCCCAAGCATATCTCTATGACTACCCCTTGAGATCCCCCAACTCACACAGATAGCATTGCGTCCATTATCTTCTCTCCTGACCTGCTATGCATAAGCCTTTCCCAGTATAACAAGTGACACCATGACCCAGCCAGTTGTGTCACGCCAGAAACTAGGCATCACCCTTAACTCCTAAATCCCGGCTTCCCCTGGTGGCCCTTATGGCATGGCTCTACTTGCCTCTTAAGCCTCAGCTCCTGCCATTCTTTCTCAGAATTCGTGATCTACTCATACATTCTATAATCTGTTTTCCATCAATCCTGATCATCTTTAAGTTCTTCAAAGACATGCTTCCTTTCAGCTCCAGCTTTGAACACTGTTCCCTTTTGGGGGACACTCATTCTCTTTACTCCAGTTAACTCTGTTTTCTTGAACAATCCCTGTTCATGTTTTGGGTCTTGGCTTCCACATATCTACATCTAGGGTGGCTTTTCTGACTACCTTTTCTCTCTTACTGTATACTCCTATGACACCCAGAACCCATCCCACCTTATTGCACTCCTTGACAGGAGTTCTCAATGGGGACAATTTTGACCTAGGAGACATTTGGAAATATTCAGAGATAGATTTGATTATGACAACTGAGAGGAATGGCTACTGGCTTCTAGTGGGTAGAGGCCAGGGAGACTGCTAGATATCCTATAATACAAAGGACAGACCCCATCATGGAGAATTAGCCTGGAATATCAATAGTGTTGAGGTTGAAAACCCCTGATATATGGAAATTGGTTCCTTATCTATATCCCACTAGATTCAATATGGGTTATCTTATTCACTAATGGGTCTCCAACACCTAGCACAATGCCTGGTACCTAGTAGGCACTTAATGGGTTTTGAAAGAATGAATGGTCTTAATTCTAAAGATATCAAATAGATGTTTGAATGAATGAATGATTAGATGGATGAATGGGCTGTCCTCTGTGAGTAGAATGAACACAATACAGCATATCCATGGTTTTCTAGGACCTGGGGTGCCAAAAGCAAGTCACAAATTGAACTAGGGTAACACTGGACATGGTGGCAAATTGTGGGAGATGGGAAGCAAAATTTGGGGAGAAGACAGGCCAGAACAAAATATGAACAAAAGCTCTTGGAGAGATAGCTGGGTTGCAACCTGTATGTGGAAGTCCCTTCTGCTACCTCTGCTAAGCTTCACACTTCTCATGCCCCCAGGGAGTGATGGAGAGCTTCCTGGGCACTGCCATGGCCGGCTCCTTGTTCTGCCTCTTCTCGGGACAGCCTCTCATCATCCTCAGCAGCACAGGGCCCATCCTTATCTTTGAGAAGCTCCTCTTTGACTTCAGCAAGTAGGTGTCCTTTTGGTGATGCCCCATGCCATCTCTTGCCCATAGGGCTGTTAGCCAAGGCCAAGACACAGGAATAGACAGGGCCTAGGAAGTGCCAAAGTCACCTTTAAACAAGGGAGAGACTGTCAGGTGGATCCTCCTGGCTTCTGCCAGCTACCTGCCTTTAAGATGACTATTTTAGTGTGTATTAGCACAGCCAACAGGGAGCAATCCAGGCAAGACAAGGGAAGAAGACTCATACCATGCTGTTCACTTGAAAGTCAGTGTAGTGTTTGAAAGTCTTGGGCTGGAGGTCAGAAGGCTACACCCAGACTCAGACAACTCCCATCACTCCAGGCTCTGCTGCCTCATCTACACCCCAAGGGTTTGACTCAACTATGCCTAAGGCCTGCTCCAGCCCTATTCATCTGAAATTTCTTGTTTTTCATTCACGCTGGGTGTCTGTGACCAACTATGTGAGCACTGAGTGCCTCAGCACCTTCCTGCATACCTCCTGCATGAGATCTTTTCCTAGACTTCTCAAAGATCAGGCAACCCTACCCAGGAATTGTCCCTGTCCCCAGTACTTTGACTGTCCCTAGGAGGGCACCTGTGCCACAGGAGGGGGAAATAAGCTGCTAAGGGTGGGTGTGGGAAACCAAGCACAGGAATCCTGGACTGGAGGACCGCCCCCCACTTTCCCTCTGCCTTCCAGAGGCAATGGCCTAGACTACATGGAGTTCCGCCTCTGGATTGGCCTACACTCAGCCATCCAGTGCCTTGTCCTGGTGGCCACAGATGCCAGCTTTATCATCAAATATATCACCCGATTCACCGAGGAGGGCTTCTCCACCCTCATCAGCTTCATCTTCATCTATGATGCCATCAAGAAGATGATCGGTGCCTTCAAGTACTACCCCATCAACAGGGACTTCAAGCCCGACTCCATCACCACCTACAAATGCGAGTGTGTTGCCCCTGACACAGGTGACCGGTAACTCCAGACATGCCCTGCCCACCCCCCCACATATTCTTCCCTAAAACCACAGCTCTATCAAATGCAGGAAAGCCTGCTTGAGAGGGGCTATTCAGCCTGGCATTCCAAGGGAGCCGCACAGGGTATTGAACCCAGTTTTTGGAAGGAAACCAAGAGAACAGTAGCCTTAATATCAACTCCCAGGGCTGTGATCAGAAGGGTATGGGGGTATCTCAGGAAGGCATAGGCACAGTTTGCCTCAGTGCAGGGTGATGTGGAGGCTACACCTGTCAGCATGCTACCCAAGCCAGAGGTAGATCTTTTGGTGCCTAATGTTCCTTCTCATATATTATATTTTTTTCTATCATTGCATGACACCTTATTCCCAACACATTGCTGCCAATGTGGTCTCATACTTTATAAGGTGAGAGCACATCAGATGGATGAACATCCCTACAAACAGGAACACCTCCAGTGTGGAGGGCTTGCCAATCAGACCATTAGAAAAACAGCTGGATAACCTGAGGTTATTTAGCTTCTTAGGGATAAGAGAGGTATGAGAGAAGAATTGTCATGCCACAAGGGACACAGGATGTAGAACAAATTGAGGAGCTGAAGTTTCAGGGAACCAGATGCTAGCTGACTCTGGGAAAACTGTGCAACAGTGGGAGTCGCTATCATGGGAAATATCTGCCAGTTACTTGGACTCTCTGGAAGTCTGTGTGCCAAGAGATCCCCATACTAGGTGGGAGGTTTAATCAACCCACTGGTCAACCTGATAATAAGTATTCAGTGCCATTCCTGTGGAGTTACTTTATGGACCAAAACCTGTCATCTGGAAACTTAGAATTTCTCATAGAATCTCATCTCCTGACCTCCCTCACAGCCATAAGCATGGCCCTGAGAGCATTCAGTGGGGTATACCCAGGGTGCTGCAGAATAGGAATAGGAGATCCACCCCACTTCTCCAAGCAGCACCAGGCTGGACTCACAGAGAGCAAACTGAGGCCCAGAGGCCACCCAAGGTCACACCAAACCTCAGTTTCCCTAGATATAAAAGGGGGACGTCAATGTTGGCTCTACCAGTTTTGTGGGGGCTCTTATGAGGTTTTCAAATCTATACCCAGGTTTGGTTAAAGGAAATAAGTAAACATTTGGGTTTTCAGTCCCTTAATACATTACTATGAGCCAGACAGAGTGATCTCAGCCTCACCTGTGATCCCAGCTATTCAGGAGGCTGAGGCAGGAGGATCACAAATTTGAGGCCAGCCTGGAAAACTTAATGAGACTGTTTCAAAATAAAAGTTTAAAAAGGACTGGGGGTGCAGCTCAATAGTAAAATTCCTGCCTATCTTGATTAAGGCTCTGGGTTCAATCCCCAGTGCTATCAAAAAATACAAACAAATAAGCAAAAAATTCAAAAGCCATTACTATGTATAAAAAAAGGTGATCACAAGTCAATCAAAAATATTGGTAGCACAATTTTTTAGGGTCTTTGGAACTTTATGGAAGATAAAATGCCTTGTCTTCAAGGAGTGTGGTTTTGATTACACCCCTGCTCCCTGTCACTGCACTGATTTTGTAAAGAAGTCAAGATTTAATTTTTTCTTATATTTTTTCTATCATTAATTTTGAGTTATTCTATTAAAATCCAATGATAGGTAAAGTTACCCTTGGTCCTGAGTCAGGCCACATTGCTCTTCCAGAACATTGAAGAGCTCCTACCCACTGGCCCTTTTTATTCTGCCCTGGGGCAAACCCTGCCTCTGGGCCAGGTTCCATCTGGGTGCTCTTGTTTACAGCTTATACATTCCTGACTCTAGATTCATTACACTGAGCACAAATTTCCCACAAACATGACTTTTAGAATCATATTCCTTGATCTCTTTCTATAAACATTCGAAGTTCTGGAGTCATATGAAGACCTTTGGCTATTCTGAAAATCATCTATCCACAGGAGAAACCAAACCTAAAAATGCCCTAGCAACAGAGGATGAAGGAACATACAAAGTAGCATTCAAGGAGCATAATGAAGCCACTTCATTTCTAAATAGGTTCCTCTCTGGTCTTGCCCAGAGGCTTGATGTCACTTCATTCTTTGGGTCATGCTGTTGTCATGTTTCTCAAAGTGTGGTCCCCAGACCCACAGCTTTATCACCATCTGAGAACTTGTCAGAAATGTAAATTCTTGGGCTCTGCCCCAGACCTGCTGAATCAGAAACTGGGGCAGGGTCCAACCATCTATGGATTAACAAACCTTCCAGATAATTCTGATGCCCTCTCAAGTTTGAGAGCTTCTGCTCTCTTGAACTATTAATTAATACACTGAGCCATTATTAACTACTAACTACAATAAGATTAGGTATTCAGGGGCTGGGCTGTAGTTCAGTGGTAGAGTACTTGCCTCTAATGTCTGAGACACTGGGTTCAACTCTCAGCAATATATATCTACAATTAAAATAATTTTTTAAAAAGATTAGATCTTCAGTTTCTTCACTGAGAATAAAGGAATTAGAACCAGAACAAGTTAGTTCTGATTAGGAGAATATAGAAAGGAAAGTTCTAGATATGTAGGAAACTAGGGAGTGGGGAACTAACTGTGGTTTCTTTCCAGTTCATGAGTCATCTAATTACTAATTGTTCCATATTCTTAGGTTTACTGAAAAGAAAAAAAGAAACAGCTTAACTATGGCATACTCTCATTCTTTGTCACTCTTCCTAAGCGCTTGTTCGGGGGCACTTTCTTTTTATATTTAATTTTGTTTCCATTGTAACTGATTTGTATTCTGTTTATGGATGCTGCAAACACTGATTTGGCTGCTTTCAATCCCAAGTGAGTACCACTTTTTGCACACTAGAATTTTACAATATTTTTGGACCCTTTCTGGAATTTTCCATGTTATATTTCTTCCATATTCATCTTGAGTAGCTTTCAGATAAACTCTATAAAGTTCTTGATATAAAATAATTGATAAGCCTAAGGAAGACATCAGGAGGATGTCTGGCCTGAAAACACTGGGTGGTGGAAAATGTTTGACCTCCCCAGGTTTAAGCACTAACAGGGAATTCTCTAGCATGTCAGTGGGTCACCTAGAGGCAGCTTCTTGGCCAGCTTCTCTGTCCCTAATGTTAATTGTGCATCATGTTCTTTTGGTCAACAATGTGAGAAAAGGCAACAGATGTCCTTGATTTCTAATAAGTAACACTTTTGTCAGAACAATCTGAGCAAACCACTGGGTTTATAGAACTCCTAGTAATGTTCTACAAACTGAGCAAGACTGAGTTTGCCAACAAACCAGTCCAGCTGCCCCAGAAGTGAGCACCTTAGCAGGGCCCTGTAGTCTATCCAACCCTGTGGACAGCTTGTTAGTGGTTGGGAGAAGCTTCAAGATTAAGCTCTTCTGAGTTCCTAACCAAATGTGGATAGTCAGCAGGGGCCAAATGGGGCTTGCAGAGCCTCTCAGGCTTTTTGCCAGCAAACTGGCTGGGGTTCCTTGATCTCCCCACACCTGCCACAGGGGAACTGCTTAGTCTGCCTTTGCTTGGAGGAGGAGAGTGAGGCAGGCCTGACCTTCACTTCCACCCCTGCAGTTCAGGAGGAAGAGAGAGGGCAAGCAGTGGTCCTCCGAAGCCTGCCTTTGTCATGAGTAGCCACCAACCCTGGGGAGCCCCCCATGTGGGTGATGAGCTCTCCCCACAGGAAGGAGCAAGGGAGGCCCAACAGAGAGAAGGGAGAGTGGAAAAGTCCACATGGAAATGAGAGGCAGATTATGTTTCCTCCAGCTTTCCTCAGGAACTGAAGGGACCCATAGGTGCTCCACTTAAAGGGACACTGAGGCCAGGGAAGGGAAGTGCCCAGCAAGAGACACAGTGGGAACAAATAAAAACAGAACCTTTGGGTTCCTGATTCTTCTTCAAGTCCTACACTGAGGTTATATTTTCCTTGTCTTCTCTTAAAGGGGCAGATTAGAGAAGAGACTATCAAAACCAATAAGTTCAAACAGGCCCAGCTGACCTAAAAAAAAAAAAGTACATCTGGAAAGGGGCGGGAGAGAAGGGAAGTGTTGGTGGGGGGCGGGGGTGGCAAAGCTTGCTGTACCCAACTGGGAGGTTTATATGCTCTGGGCCAGCCTGCCTGGGATGGGATCATGGCTCCAAGTATGAGATCTGTGACCTTGGGCAATAGGCAGGTTAACCTCTCTGGGCCTCAGTTACCTCATCTGTAAAATGGGGATACTTTATGGAGATTTGGGAACTTAAATGAGTATATATGTATATATATATATATATATATATATATATATATGTATATATGTATATATATATACATATATATATATATATATGGTTTTGGCATAGTGCAAAGCATGTAGTTAATCCTTTAAAAATGTTAAGTCTAACAGCACACAAATGGGTCCAGTGCCCAGTAGAGATTCACAAGGCACATTATTCACCAACTTGTCTTAGTGTCAGATTCTTTATTTCAGTTTTTTCAAAACCAGCTGTTTATTGTCAGGCAGGAGATGTCCTACAACAGCTGGCCCAGCCTATGTCTGAGTTCTGGCCTAGGCTCCCTCCCACCAACCCATCCCTAAAGTCAAGGGCAAGAGAGGCAAATCAAGGAAGGTGAAGAGGGGCCAGATATGATGAGCTGTCCTCATGATGGGAACCAATTTGGCTCTAAGAAACTGGAGTGAAAGGAGAAAGGGTGGGAGCTTCATGGGGGTTGCAGATTCCCCATCCCAAAGCCTCTGACCTTCCCCATGTCCTTGCTCATCTACAGTGAATACAACTGTGTTCAATGCCTCAGCCTCGCCAGCACCAAACCTCAATGCTTCTCTGGTAAGTCCCCTCCTCTTAGGTCAGACGGTCAGGTGCTGTTTTGTGGGTGGGGGTAGTGAGAAGAGAGTTGGGAAACTGAGACCAACTCATGGCAACCCAGATTCACAGAGGCCCAGGGGCACCTGCAGAGTTTTGCAAATGTGTACTTTTATTTTAAGATGCTTACGTACTGTAAGCATCCCATCTTAAATCATGCCTCCTTCTATTGCATGCAATGCATAAATATGATATATACCTACAAATGAAGGGGAGGTAGCAGTGAGGATGGTAATAGGGCTGCACACACAACTGGAAACAAAATTTCCCTTTCATCTTTCTTGATTTTCCTTCCCTTTCTACCTTGGACCACTAGTTCCCACCCAACAATTCTCTAGTCCCAGAAAGTTTAGTAGTGCTCCCCCTCCCTAATGAATCTGACCTGTCCTATGACCTCCTTTGTCCCTCGGACTTCTAGGTCTGGCCTACCTTTCCCAATAATGAGGGGTGGTGGCCTTCAGGAGCCAATGTCCCAGCCTAAGTGGGTCTAATGGTGGGAAGCTCAAATCCAGGTGAAAGGTAGCCTTCATAGGCCTTGGGAGAGAAATGGATGCTTTTAGGTTGCTTCTTAAGTTACCCTGCACAGGCAGTTGGTGACTCTGCTCAGACAATTCCAGTTGACAATTTAACCTAAGGTTTTCCAAATCCCAGGTCCTGAGAAAGAAAGAAAAGAATCAGTCAGTGCCTATTTCTCAATTCCTATTGTGTGCAAGATGCTATGTGCACTAAGAAATCAATGTGGGGCTGGGGGTGGAGTTCAGTGGTAGAGCACTTGCCTGGCACATGAGAGGCCCTGGCTTCAATTGCCAGCATTGCAAAAAAAAAAAAAAGAGTAAATAAAGAGACATAAATAAAGTTTGTCCCTGACTTCCAACTTCCTTTTGATGTGCTTGTGAAGATGCACGTGAATAGTTATGGGAGGCAGGGGCTGGGATTGTGGCTCAGCGATGGAGCGCTTGCCTGGCATGGGCTGGACCCGGCTTCGATCCTCAGCACCATATAAAAAATAAAGGCATTGTGTTGTGTCCATCTACACCTAAAAAATAAATATTAAAAACAAAGAGTTATGGGAGGCATGAGCAGGGCATGCCATGCATCAAATCTAGGCAAATCTAGGCCATATATGTTCTTCCAACCCTGGTGGCAGGAAAGAAAACTAGCTGGAGAGACCAGAGAAAGCCTCATGGAGAAAGTGAAATGTGCTATAAATATATTTATAGTCCGTGGAAACATATTCATATCCATGTATCTGCAAAAAATTTTAGAAATTAATAAGCCCATATGATTTTTATAAAAAGACAAAGTGGAATGTTTAAGGTTGGGAGAAGGTTGATTCAGTAGAGAGAAGAACATTCCAGGCGAAGGGAACATCAAAGACAGAGGGTCAAGGAAGAAAAGCACAAAACCTGTGCAGGAGACAACGAGTGGACTAGTTCAGCTAATATGAGAATGGAAGATTGACTGGGGAAATCCCAAGAGGCAAACTGGAAAAGAAAACTGGGACAGACCTGTGGGGCAGTAGAGGAACAATATTTGCAGGGAGCATTTTAAATTATACGTGGTGATTGAGGGATATGGCTGACATTCAGTAGATGGGGTCCCAAAATGCAAGACAGCATGGGAAAGTCCCACACCAGACCTCCTCACTTATGTGTCATTAGCAAATCTTGAGGTTGAGGCAGGAGGATCGTAAGTTTGAGGCCATTGTGGAAAATGTAGTGAGATCCCGTCTCAAAAAATAAAAAGGGCCGGGAGTATGGCTCACACATACCATATATACACACACACAAAAAATAAAGTGGATTAAAGCAATAGGAGCAGCAATTATAATTCTCATAATTCTGTGGGATGACTGGCTAGTTCACTGATTTCACCTGAACTCAGTTTTGTGGCCTTTCAAGCTGGCAAGCCTGGTAGGGACTTGTCACAGGTGGAACAGAATGGCTCTACCTGTCTCTCCATGTGGTTTTCTCAGTCTTGAATTTGTCACAGCATTGTGTTATCAGGTTTCCAGGAGTATGAAGGCAGAACCTGCAGGCTCCTTTCATTGCCTCCAAGTCACTTCCTCCCTCACTTTGTTGGTCTAAGCAGGTCAAAGACCAGCCCATATTCAAAGGAGTGAGAAAACAGACTTCCCCTTTGATAGGAGGACCATCAATGCCACACCATACATGAGTGTGGATGAAGGAAGGCATGATTCATTAGGGACCTTATTGTAATGCTCTATTACACTTGTCTTAATACAAACATCCCTTATAGCTAGTTGTAAGCATCTGTTTACTTCATTATGTAAGGTTTCTAAATATTTACACATTAACTTTTTAGTTTTTGTTTTTAGGTTTTGTTTTGTTTGTGGTGCTGGGGATTGAACTCAGGGCCTTGTGCATGCAAGGTAAGCACTCTACCAACTGAGCTGTATCCCCAGCCCTTACATATTAACTTTTAAAAATATGTATTAAATTGGGGCTGTGGCTGTGGCTGTGGCTCAGCCGTAGCGCATTTGCCTGGCATGTGTGAGTACTGGGTCCTATCTTCAGCACCACATATAAACAAATAAATAAAATAAAGATCTAACAACAATTTTAAAAATGTATTAAATTGTATTATATTTATATAATACATTTTCTTCCTTCTTTTACTACTCTTAGGAATACATAAATACAGATATTCTTCAGTATTCACAGAGGTTTAACTCCAGGATCACCCAAAGATATCAAAATCTATAGATGCTGGGGCTGGGGTTGTGGCTCAGTAGTAGAGTGCTTGCCTAGCATGTGTGAGGTGCTGGGTTCAATCCTCAGCACCACATATAAATAAATAAAATAAAGTCCATTGACAACTAAGAAAATATTTTTAAAAATCCATAGATGCTCAAATGCTTTATATAAAATGGTATAATATTTATATGCCCATCTCCTGGATATTTTAAATCATCTTTAGAAAACTTATAATACCTAATACAATGTAAATGCTATGGAAATGGTTTTATATTATATCATTTAGGTGGTAATAGTAGTCTGTACATGTTTAGTACAGATGTAATTTTTTAAAAATATTTTTGATTCACAGTTGGTTGAATTCAAAGAAGAAAAATCCGTGGATACACAGTATATAACATTTATATTTATATATAAAATTGCGTTGTTTTGCATGCCCTGAATTTTAGGATCTGGGACACAAATAGCTGAAATGACCTAAGAATGGACTGACAAAGGAGTGACAGAAGGGAAGGAGAGGAGAGAATAGTGTGAGATGTCAATAGACCCATGGTTGGTGGACAGCGACAGAAGTCCAGCCTACTGAAGGGAGGGCATTCCCATCACTGCTGCGTAGTTTCTCATTGCTAGCAAAGATATAGGGTGCACCCCAGAACACAATGAAAAAGCAAGTGTCAGCTTCCAATCCTCCCAGGGAGCTGCCTGCTTATGACTCCTTGAACAGTTTTGTCGCCTGGAACACCATTCTGTTACTGAAGGCATCATGGTGGTGGGTGTGTGGGCTGCCTGGGATAGCAAGGGGAAGGACACGGCCAACCCAACAGGAAGGTTCTGACCCTTTCTCTCTTATGTTTGGTCTCCAAGTACGATCCCCTTAACCTCACAGCACTGGACTGGTCCCTGCTGAGCAAGAAGGAGTGTCTGAGCTATGGTGGGCGCCTACTTGGGAACTCCTGCCAGTTCATTCCAGACCTGGCACTTATGTCCTTCATTCTTTTCTTTGGGACTTACTCCATGACCTTGACTTTGAAGAAATTCAAATTCAGCCGCTATTTTCCTACCAAGGTAAGTGCACCATGCAGTTAGGAAGAACCTATAGTCAAACAACTATTGAGAAAAATGTCATCAGCTGGGCTGGTGACGCCTGCCTGTAATCTCAGTGGCTCAGGAAGCTGAGGCAGGAGGATCCTGAGTTCAAAGCCAGCCTCAGCAAAAGCAAAGCACTAAGCAACTTAGTGAGATCCTGTCTCTAAATGAAATACAAAATAGGACTGGGGATGTGGCTCTGTGGTTAAGTGCCCCTGAGTTCAATCCTTGGTACCCTCTGAAAAAAGGGCCACCTTGTGGGCACTTTTTCAAGTTAAAGCACATACTTCGGAGACAGGGAGAATTGCAATCTCTTGTTGATAAGCCCTTTGGCAACAAATATTTCATATTTTCAGACTTTTACCTTTAGTCTTCCTGTGCAATAATAACTCATGTGTTTTTTTAAAAATTTTCAGTGTACCGACGACTAATGAAATTGAAAATCTTGTCATGTTTTTATTGACCATAAGGCCATTTGATTTTCTTCTTGGAAGTCTCTGTTTAAATCCTCTTGCACAGTTTTTATTGGGTTGTTCTTTACTTTCTGATGTGCAAAAGTTCTTTATGTATTCTGAATACAAATACTTTCATGATGGTGTGTGTTGTGATATCTTTTCCCACTCTGTGACTGACCTTTTTATTTTTTTTAATACATTTTTTTAAAGTTGTAGATGGACACACTACCTTTATTTTATTTGTTTATATAGTGCTGAGGATTTAATCCAGGGCCTCACACATGCTAGATAAGCACTCTACCACTGAGCTACAACCTAAGACCCCTTTTTACTTTCTTTCTTTCTTCTTTTTTTTTCTATGGTGCTAGAGATCAAACCTAGGGCCTTGTACACACAAGGCAAGCATTCTACCAACTGAGCTATATCCCCAGCCTAATTTTTAATGCTATTATAAATGCTCACTGCTATTTTTAATTTCAGTTTCTGTTTGTCTGGAATAAAATATGTATTAATCAAAACTGAACTTGCAGGCTGGGGTTGTAGCTCAGGATAGAGCACTTGCCTGGCATGTGTAAGGCACTGGGTTCAATCCTCAGCAATACATAAAAGAGTAAATAATAAAATAAAGGTATTGTATCCATCTACAACTGAAAAAAAAATTAACTGTACTTGCATATGTGAGGAATGGCTGTGCCATGGGAAGGGATGCTTGGAAGAATTTTAGCAACTCATTCATACCATAAATCCCATGCATGCTCTCCTAAAGCCATTTTAAATAAATAGTATGACTAATGACAAATGAATATTATGAATAATAAACTCATTTAATAATCATATGAATAGTTGAATTTTCCCCAATATTTTCTAAAGACTAAATAAAAGGTTCATTAGGAAGCTTTGCAAAAGAACAACTAAGTAAAAACTCATGGAACTGCAACACACATGAATCCTAAAAACAAGCTTCCTCACATCCTCCCCACTCCCACCTACATCATCTCCCTAATCTCTTCTTATGTGAAAATGCTAGAGCAGTGGCTGATTCAGAGAATGTCTGTTATTTGCAGGATGAAAAATAATTTGCATAATATGAAGTTCTAGGGCCACCAACATTTTTTCCCTTAAAATACTTAAAAACTGCTTTCTTGCCTTCTGGAATTTTGTGTTACAGAGAAAAATGAGGTCACACTATTTTACACTCATCAGGTTGGTTAGCACTCCAAGCCTTGGAATATCAGGTATTGGAGATTGAAAGTGATAGATGAGAATGTCAAGAGGTATGTTCAATTTGGAGGGCAATGGGCATTCTATGATAAAGCTGGAGATGACAGGACCTTCAAACCAGTACATCCACTCCCAGGTATATACCTCAGAGAAATTCTTATGCGTGTACAAGAACAGTCACAGAAACATTGATTCCAAGAGAAAAACTGAAAATGATCTAAATTTAACTATTAACATGAAAATAAAGAAACAAATGGAAAATAATCATGCAAAGACTGAGCTGCAAATAATATAGACTACAGCTACATCTATCCACAAAGAAAAATATCATAAACATAATGTTGAACAAATAAAGCAAATTGCAGAAGATTACAAATAACATGTTACCTTTTATGTAAAATTTAAAAACAAGCAAAGCAATGCCATGTTTTGTTGAGGAATATTTACACACTTAGTCTAAGTAGAGACTTCATGGGAAAAGTAAACTCTGAATTCAAACTAGTGGTTCTCTTTAGAGAGCTAGAACAGGGATGTCACTGGGTGACAGGAGAGATTGTCCACTGGATGGGTAAATTTTTATTAAGGATAAGGGGAGTTCACAGCTGTTTATTTTGTCTATCTTCATATAGGATTGGACCATATGAAATGGCCTATATTTGACTGTTTTGTCCTACAAAAAAAATGGCAGATTCACATAGTTAACTTGATAACATTTTTATTTCAGTGCTAGGAAAATTGTGGAAAAGAAATATAAATGTAGCACACTACTTGGTTCTGATGTGACCAACGCTGATACGATCCTAACAACATAAAGATGTTATTGATTTTCACCTTTCAGAATCCACTTACAGATAAAACACAAAAGATGTGTCTACACAACAGTGTATGATCTCCTCAGCTTTGACATGTAAAGATCAAAATGAAGGCATCATAGGTGGAAGGGGGACAAGTAAGAGAGGTGATGACAAGCTCAAGTACAGTGATCCTCACCTCACGTGACAGAGAGTGAGAGATATTGGCAAGAGTTATGAGATATTTAATTACATAACACAAAAATACAAAGGAAGCCCATAAAGAGTTTTAAAAGAGGAATGGAGAAAGGGAAGGAGGGGTAATATAAGTAAGTCTAAACTTTATAGTAATGCCTTTAATTAGTAAATCAAAATATGAAACTATAAACATATTAACTGACAAGGAATAAACCTCCAGAACAACTAAAACCAAGACATATGTCAGGATTAGAAAAGCTAAGTTAGGGACTTTGCTCTCCACTGTCTTTTTTACACTAAGTGAATTTTCAGTCAGTCACATGTTATATTAATACAATTTGAATGGGAAGTAGGATGTGTCCTCACCTGCCTCTGCCCCTTCAAATTGCTTTCTCTGAAGAGATATAAAAAAAGGTGGCAGATAGACACTGGGGGACCCTCTGCCCTGAGACTTCCCAATATAGATTAAGGGGAGGGATGGGGTCAGAGGATGCTTTCAGAAAGGGCAAGGAAGTCAGATCCTGAACTAGCCTGGAATAGGTCTCCCAGAATTAAGAATTATAGGCTGGAGACTCTTGGTGGACAGAAGGTTTGAGAGTAGCCAGAGGTCCCCTATGTAATTGGGGCAGGGGTGAGAGTTTCCCTCCCAGCCCAGGGGTGTGACAACCTGTCATGTTTTTGAGAGCTAGGGTTTCCTTCCGAGTTCAACAATTGCCCTCACCACCCGGCAGCTGACCCCATCCAGTCTGTCATATCAGAACACATCTTCAGCAAGGGCCACCCGTGCATCCTAACAACTCCCACTTTGACCACCAGCATCCCAAGCACTCTTGGTCACACCAGCATGCCACAGCTCACTTGCACCTGAAGGTAGGTAGTATCTTTATCTCCTTTTCACAAAGGAAGAAACAGGCTCAATGGTATGCTTCACCAAGATCACACAGCCAGCAAGGAGAAGAACCAGGATTTGAGTACAGGCCTGCTGACTTCAGGGTCCTGCCTTTAAGGGGTCTCCTCTTTGACATCTGCAGATTGGGTCAGCCTGGAGCAAGGTGGATGCTTCACTCACTAGCTTCTCTCTTTTTTGTAGGTCCGTGCCCTGGTGGCTGACTTTTCCATTATTTTCTCCATCCTGATGTTCTGTGGAATCGATGCCTGTTTTGGCCTGGAAACCCCCAAGCTGCACGTGCCCAATGTCATCAAGGTTTGCCCCTTGCCCCTAATCCAGGCAATCGCCCTGCCTGCCCATGAGCTATAGTCCTCCTCTACGCTCAACATTCTTCTCTCATCCAAGTCACCCTGTAGGTTCTCAGTGTACACTCTACCACTTTCTGCACAGCATCCCAGGGGCAGTCCTTTGAGAGGTGGGTGGGGACATATTTAGAATGAAATCTTGCTGTGTACCCTAAGGAGTAGGGAAGGTACTAGAATCCACACTCCAGTCCAGCTGAAGCCTTTTGACTTCTATGTAAGGGTTTCCAATTTCCTCACCTATGACAGTCTACAAGCTGGGCCAACTGGAATCTACTAAAAAATGACCCCTTGTAACAGTGATTCTCAAAGTATGGTCCCTGGACTAGTGTCACATTGTCACCTGGGAACTTGTTCTTGATGAGTCTGTACTCCCAGCACTCCCAAGGTGGGAGGACTGCTTGAGGTCAGGAATTCCAGACTAGGTTGGGCTAGTGAGTCCCTACCTAGAGAAATGAAGGAAGGAAGGGAGGGAGGGAGGAAGGGAGGAAGGAAGGAAGGAAGGAAGGAAGGAAGGAAGGAAGGAAAGGAGGAAGGAAGGAAAAAAGGAAGAGAGGGGAAGACGGGAAGAAGGAAAGAAATGAAAATTCTCATATTCTTATTCCCATCTCAGAAGTATGGAATCTGAAAGTCTTGTGGGTAGAACCCAGCAATTTGTGTTTTAACCGGCACTTTAGGTGATTCTGAACATGTTCAAAATTCAAAACCACTGCTTCAGAAATTGCCCATTAGTCCATAGTTGGTGCCATTTGTTTGTGGCTAAGCTCAAGCCTGTTCCCTCACAAATGCACCTGCCATCTAAGCAAGGTAGGAAGTTCAGGTTCTAGAATGTTCCTCTGTCTTTGAGGCCTTGATCTTCATGATATTATTTCAGGGTTTTACTGAGTAGCTTAATCACATCTCATACAACTCACGCTGGCTCTTCAAAATAAAAGTAGCCCTTCCTTTTAAATATAAAAATATTATAAACGTCAGCTTCTGCAATAGTTAACCCCTTTGTCCCCTTTATCAGTCTGAGTTGATGTTGATATTTTGTTTTGAAGTATTGGGGATGGAACCCAGGCCCTCAATGTATGGTAGGCAAGTGTTCCACCACTGAGCTACATCTCCAGCTCCCAGTGTTTGTTGTTTTACAGACAATTCTATAATGCACTGAACCCAGAATGCTTTAGTCTTGCCTCTTGGACCTCATTTCAATTAGAACCTCTTTTGCAATTAGTGACTGCATATTCAGCTGCCTTCTGATCTTTATTTCTGTTTCCCAACCAATCCTAGGGCAATCACAGAAAATTATCCCATTAATTCTGTAGACCCCACCTGTATTCATGCCACTTCCCATAGCTATGTGCCTCTGTGATCTATTTAAAGTTGCAGGTGCCTAATGTCCTTAAGGGAAAAATATTGTACTTAAAAAGTTCTCCCAGTTGGGGAAAAAGTGAGATGGTAGGAAAGGGGCCAGCAGGCAAGCACCTGGCAAGAGAGAGAGGAAAGGGCCCTCTTCATTTGCTCTGCTCAGCCCACACGGCCTGACCGAGGCTGGTTCGTGGCCCCCTTTGGGAAGAACCCGTGGTGGGTGTACCTGGCGAGCATCCTGCCCGCCCTACTGGTGACCATCCTGATCTTCATGGACCAGCAGATCACAGCTGTCATTGTTAACCGGAAGGAGAACAAGCTGAAGGTAAGCCTATCCTTTGCCAGAAACAAAGTTAGAAGGATTAAAGGAGGGAAAGGCTTCTTTCAATACTTTGAGCAAAAGACAAGTTCCCACTTGATGTGTTGTGAGGGTGGGTGGGGGTGGGGTGACTTCTAGCAGGGCCGGATGATTTTGAGGACCAGGACCAAGGCCAGGCTGGGCCCCTGCATACAGAACCCTTGTCTCTTCCAAAGTGACCCTCCAACTCTATACCTCCTGAGAGTGAATTTAGGAGTCTAAGCAGATGCTGACAGGAGGACAAGCCTGAAGTCAGAAGGCAGCCTCCTTGGTCCCTGAAACTCTCCTCTCTCCATGCCTCTGGGTCCAAGAAGACTTGGGCTACTCTCTCCTTGACCCCAATGTAGACCAATCGAGGGTCCCAGCTGGGGCATCTCATTCAGGAACTGCAGATACTGTGGCCACTGGGTGGAACCTTTCTCCCCGGGGACCCAAACCTAGGACTTTTCCAAGCCAGAACATCCCTCTCCTTCATTACCTATGTCCCTTACTTGGTTCACCCTTTCAGACAAGGTGGCAACTGAAGCCACCTTTGAGGGAGGTGAGACCTGAACACCTCTAAAGTTCTTACAGAGAGCACCTCAGAGTGGTAGCCCCTCAGAGTGCACTCTGGAAGGCAGGGGAGCCTTTGACTGTGTTCCACAAAATGGCTGCTCTGAGGAGAAACAGGCTCCCAGAAGCTTCTCCCATCCTACCACCTGTGCAGAAGGCTGCTGGCTACCATCTGGACCTCTTCTGGGTGGGCATCCTCATGGCCCTGTGCTCCTTCACGGGGCTCCCCTGGTATGTGGCTGCCACAGTCATCTCCATTGCCCACATCGACAGCCTCAAGATGGAGACGGAGACCAGCGCCCCTGGAGAGCAGCCCCAGTTCCTGGGAGTCAGGTAGGAGGAGGTCAGAGCCTGGATCACCTAAACAGGAGTGACCCATCTAGGGAAGGGGAAGGCACTCTTCTTACCATTAAGGAATCTAGGGACAAAGGGTCCCTGCTCTGACAGCCCAGGAACTAGGGACAGGAGTGATATTGGAAGGGAGGGAAGAAGGGAGATGAAAATTTATTTCTAAATGGTACTTTTTAAGAAAAAAGTTAAGACTATTAAGAAATAGTCTCCAAGTAGCACACGCACATGCACGCACACATGCACACACACATACAAATATGCCTATACACACATGAACTCCAAAGATTCACCTCATAGGCCATGATAGAACCTCTTCCTGTCCTTCCATTTTCTCTTCTTCAAGACCCTCCAGGCTCCTGGGTCTCCTATTTTCCAATGCTTTATATTCTTCCAGAAAGCTTTCCTGGTACCACTACTATCCTCTACACCTGGTCCTGACATGTTCTTTCCCTTGCTCCTCATGTCGTGCCCCACGCCAGGTCCCCAAGCTGTTTTGGGCTGGGAATCACATCTGCCCTATAGGGCCCCTGAGGCTTACACCAAATCCTGGCATTCTCCTAATGGAAGTTTCTCCCTACTGCCTTGGGATATGTAGGCTACCTGGTCTGCCCTGAGAGAGGCTTCTCTGCCTCATATAAGGCTCAGGACAGACAGGACACTGTCCCCTTCCCGTCTCCTGAGCTCCTGGTCTAAGATATCTTCCCCAGAGCCCAGGGCTCCAACCTGGGCTATGCTAGTGCCTGGGCACTCAGGAAAACCTACCTGCCTCAACCTCTGACATCTCCTCCACTGGCAGCCAGGCCCCCTTCTCCAGCATCAGTCATGCCCTGCCAAAGTGGGATCTTACTACCAAAAAGCAAGGTAATCAGCACTTTTTATTACAACAATCTCCCAATGTAGGTGTCATTATTATCTCTATTCTACTGGCTCAAGGTATCATGGTCTTGTCTGATATCCCACAATGAGTAAATGGCAGAGCCAAGATTCAATGGAAGTCCATCAGGATCAAGCACCCAGCTAGTAGGCACTGTACTGAACAAGTTCCTTGATGCCCCTGAAAAATGCCCTGGCCTCCTTCAGGGGCATCAGTCTTCTCTGTGTAGGGCAGCTGGGCCTTAGGCTAAAAGGCAGAGCCTGATGCAGAAGTCATGGCCTTGGACACAAGTTTGAGGGCCCACAAAGAGGCAGGAGGCTGGGAATGGTCACTGGGTATCTCTGGATCTCCCCTGACTCTGCTCTTCTCCACCAGGGAACAAAGAGTGACTGGGATCATCGTCTTCATCCTGACAGGGACCTCTGTTTTCCTGGCTCCCGTCCTGAAGGTGAGGCTCTGCATCCCACCCAGGGCCCCGTCACACCTGAAAAGACAGAGCAGAGGACTTAGGCATGGGGAGTGTCCCTACACAACCCAGATATCACTGGCCTACCGGTCCCTAAAAAGGCAAGATTTTCAGTAGGCTAAAGTGATATTTCAGAGCCATTGTCATTGTTCTCTGTAAAGTGGCATCATCTGTGATCATCACCCATCCTCTCTGCTCTCTCACAGCCACCCACACTCTCACCTTCCCAGAGGACACTGTCCCTTGGGAAAATTCTGCCAAGTTCTGTCCCTGCTTAGATCAGGAATCACCCAAGCTCACTGGAGGCCTTCTTGCTCACCCATTTTCTGAAGTTTAAACCTCTGGGGGGAGAACTCTTAAGCTGTTCTCCAGGCCTATTCTCTGCTCCTCTGATTTGAATTTGTCGAGCTCCTAAGTGACTTTTTCCCACACAGTTGGAAGATTCTCTTGCTCATGTCCCACTGGACCAGCTGGAAGAGACTAACTACAACAGGGGGACATTAAGCCAGAATGGTCACTTTCCAGTCGGGACTAGGATATTCCCACCAGTTCTCTCAACTGCAGCCAGTTACCTATCAATGGCCCTTTCCCTCAATCAGTGCACACATAAGACTTTCATTGCTGAATTAAGGTGATCTGTAATTGCTCCAATCTTTGTGGTTCTTTTCCCTCTCTGAATGTCTTAAAACAGCTCATTTTGGGCTTGAACTTATTAAAAGACAAAGACTAGAGAACCATGATGCTAATTGATTCATTTAGTATAAAAAATATTTCTGGCTTGAGAATCAGTGGCACACCTGAGCAATTGGTTTAAGGTTCGGGGTTTTAAAGAAATGTTTTCATTGTGTAGGAGACAGGTTACACACAGATGGTTTTGTTTATTTAAGAGTGTATTTTAAATGGCCAGAGAATGCTGACTTTTGTGGAGAGGGCTCAAAAGAACCATCATGCGTATCATTCCTGATACTGCCTGACAAGCATTTGTATAAAAAATAATTTTAACCTAAAAACAGCATACTTTAGTGGCCAAAAGTTCCTAGAAACACTTTGCACATAGCACCTCCGGCTATCTTTGCAGACTCAGACTTCAGGCAGTCCCAGGCAGGCTGCCCCAGCTGCTGAGCATGTTCATTGATTCAGTCATTGCACACGAGCTTTTGATGCATAGCTGAATAGAAACAAAGCAGTTAGAAAATTCCACTATGGTTTCCTTCCTTTTGTTCCTTTTACAACATGATGGATTCTTTCATGAACACATTTCTCATATTCTGTGTATACATTTTCTAGGCCTTTACACTCACACTTTTGACCTCTGATTTTAGTATAAATTATTGCTTTTGTTCTAATGTTGTATATCTTCTTAATGTAGGTCACATGCTGACATAGTATAATTAAAATAATTTAAATGAGGGCTGTGGGGTATAACTCAGTGGTAGAGCACTTATCTAGCTAGCATGCAGGAAGTCCTGGGCTTGATCCTCCGCCCTATAGGAAAAAAAGAAAAGAACAAAAAAAAAAAAAAAGAAGAAGAGAAAGGAAAATAGTTCTGTGCATAAAATTTGCATTGCTAAAGCCTTTGGTGTGGTCATCCTTTAAATGATGTACAGTCACATTGCTCCCTCTTGGGTGACATTTTGAGCAATAATAGAAATTCCCTTTTGCTACAATTATTGGGCCAAATGTTGTAACTCTTTCAGGCTGTGTACTGTATTTCTCTATAAATGTATGCACCTTGTAAAATACATTGTTTAAAGAGTAAATGTTATTGTTCTGTCAAGGAAAAGTTTGCAAGGTTTCATATGGCTCCAAGTGCTTTGATACTATCTTTGCATTCAATCAAAGCACAAAAGAGTTTGAAAATCTACCCACCAGTATTCTTCCAGAATAAGAGTACCAAAAAAAAAAAAAAAAAAAGATCAATACACTTGATTTACCCAACGTTTAATCTATTTGGCAAATTTTGTAGCAGAACTGACCTGTCTAGAGTTTTAAATTAATCATAAGATTTAGGATTTCTGATTCAATTTTATTAAAGTATGTACTTTTTTATAAAGCTAGGCTTTCAAAACTGTTAGCTAACTAAAGCATAATTACTAACTGACATCAGTACTAAATACTGGATTCATTTTATATTTAAGAAAAGAAGTTTGGTGTAGCTGTTCAAGAAAAATATGATTCGTCAAGATGTGAGATCCTAGACTCTATTTAGGAGCCTCTCTCTCTGCCCCTTCCCCCTCTCGTTCTGTATCAATGAACGGTTGTGTTGATATTAGACAATAATGTTTATTGTTAGAGGATCAGTGATATTCTTTAGGCCTTCCATCACTGATTTGTAAATATTTCATTATCTTGTCAAACGAAGCTTCAGAAGGAGGAAGTGAGCATGTATTTGATGGGTAATGTAAATTACTTAACATATTGAGCAAATTTCCCAGTCCACCCCAAGGCTATGAAGTTTTATTTTGTTCACACCTTCCCATGGCTTTTGAGGATTTCTGCATTCCGCCTCAGAGGAACTCCTATGATGCCTTAAAACTCCCTTATGGACCCCATGTTATTCTCCTGGACCCTGTCTAACATTACAGAGGAAAGTTCTGTCATCCTTATGATTGTAGTACTGTGATGATTGTTGATCTAAAGCTGACACTAGAGGTAACTTTCTGCCACTTTTTAGTTTCATTAATGTTTGAAAAGGGCCTTTTCCTGGAGAGTCAAGGAAGATTTGTGCTGATGAATACAGAATTCTAGATCACAGCCCTATCACTGGTAGGATTACAATGTTATAGGCATTTGAGATTTTCTGGGAAAGCTGCAAATGACAAGACAATTTCCTTGACTTGAAAATGAGGTAACTTTTTATCAGTCACTGATGACTACAATTATTTAAGACTTAATCCAGTTTGTTTTCACACTTAGTAGAGTAAAAAGGGAAATTGTAAGTGAACTTGAGTTTATGTTGCTACAGATGATAGCTAAATTTTTAAATTTAAGTGTTTATTTCTCTCTCAATTGCCTCCACACTTTGAGGGTGATTAGGACAGTGATTCCTTAAAATTTTTACCTTATCTCATAATTTGGCAAAAATCTCATAAACTATGTGCTAATGAAATGATGGAAGGGTCACATATTTCCTTTTTTTTGGGGGGGGGGTACTGGGGATTGAACCCAGGGCACTTTACCACCAAGCTACCTTACCAGGTCTTGCTAAATTGCTTAGGGCCTTGCTAAATTGCTGAGGCTGGCCTCAAACTTACAATCTTCCTGCTTCAGCCTCCTGAGTCACTGAGATTATGGCTGTGTGCCACTGGCATATATTTCCTTTTTTAACCTTTAGTTCAAATGTCTTGAATTGTTTATAGCATGTAGATCCAAAGTGTACTTTGTATGCAAACAAATATAACTTATCCTAAAAATAGAAGTTATTTACTTGTCTGGATTCATTAACATTCTTAAATGGCATCTACAAGTTGAGCAGCCCTTGTTAGCATCATACTTTGTGATCACCAAAGAGTTCTACCACAACCCAGAACAAGGCAGGACAGCCTTTGTTCACAGTGGCAAGAATTGGGTACAGCTAAAGGAGAGGATAAAAATAGCAGAAATACAGCTTGGACAGAGGTGAAGAAATGCCTCAAAAGGTTTTTAAAAGCCACGTGTGGTGGTGCACATCTATAATCCCAGTGACTTGGGAGGCTGAAGCAGGAGGATCACAAGTTTGAGGCCAACCTCAGCAACTTAGCAAGGCCCTGCCTCAAAATAAAAAATAAAAAAGCTGGGGATGCAGCTCAGTGATAGAGTGCCTCTGGGTTCAATCCCCAGTACTCAAAAAAAAAAAACATGAGTTTTAAAGACTTGAAATGCTGGGGACAGGATTGTGGCTCAGTTGTAGAACACTTGCCTAGCATGCATGAGGCACTGGGTTTGATCCCTGATACCACATAAATAATAATAATAATAATAAAATATTTTCTAGTTGTGTCCATCTACAACTAGAAAATATTTTTTTAAAAAAGTAAAAAATAAAATAAAAAATAAAAAAAGATTTGAAATGATGATGGTAGTGTAGTATAAATTACATGAATCTACTTTTGAAAAAGAAAACAACTGCTGATGTGTGTGCTTGGAAGAATACACACCAAACTCCTAGTGTTAGTTGATGATTAGTGGTTTTTATGTTACTAACACATTTGTTGGTCCCCCTGGAATATAGAACTTAAAGGGGTCCTTTTTCCATTCAATGTCACAAAACAAGTAACTAGACTGACTTGAGCATCCATGGCCCGAGCTTTTATTCGGTGACTAAAGAATAGAGAAGTGGGTTCCCAGCTCACATTTGACTTAACTTACTTAGAGTTGACAAGCTGGGTATAGAGCAGCAGAAATGAGAAGAGGGAATAGGTTAATGAAGGGAAGGAATATTCATGTAATTTCCTGCAACAGGTGGAGACTTCTACAAATTCAGATGCACTCTCCTTTTTGATCTACTGTTTCTGGACACTGTGTGGCCAGTGAGCATGTCTTTAGCATGGAAACTAGATTTTAATGAAGCTGGAGGTCAGCTGTTACTCTGGCAAACATTTTAGATCCAACTGGTTTTGGCTAGCCTACCTGAAGAGGAACTTTTGGTGTTCAGACATCCTGTCATCAAAGGGTGAGGTAGAGATTTAGTAGGCAGTACCCTGGGCAACAGTTTACATACTTCTGTTTTGCTTCTTTTTTTGTGATTGTGTATGATATGAGATTTTTGATAAGTGGCCTTGGTACTTCCTATGATTTAGGTCAACTCACCAAAGGTCCCTGGCCCCCTGCAGGCCCAGCAGCTTTAGGGGCCCACAGCTAAGGCTGAAAGTGGAAGGGGCTGGCAGGAATAAGCAGTTTGTGGAGCTTTCCCACTTTCTAGAAATGTCTTCAGCCAGACTACAGGGTTCTCCCGTGGGGCTGGGAGAAGGGCCAGATGGGAAGAACAGCAGCATGCTGTGCATCCCCACCTGCACCCACACTCTGGTTCCAGATCTTCTCTCAGACACCCTCAGTTCCTCCAAATATACACCTCCTTGGCTGCCTCTATGGTTGGCAGACACATTTGTCCAGAACAAGGAGACCAAGGACCTATCCCAGGCAGAAGTTCAATCCAAAATTCTGCTCTCATTTCAGTACATCCCCATGCCTGTGCTGTATGGAGTCTTCCTCTACATGGGCGTGGCCTCCCTGAATGGCATCCAGGTAAGGCCCTCCCCTCCCCACCTGAAGTCAGCACTCCCTAGTGTCACCAAGACCCCAAATTCTTACTCTCCTGGTTCAATGAAAGAATAATAGCAATATTCTATGAGAAGCAAAATAATTATATGAGGCACTTAACAGGTGTCATTTAATCTATATAATTAGGTCCTTTGATCCCAATCTCACAGAGGGGGAGACTGCAACTCATAACTCAAAACCTGGGTCAAACCAACTCCAAAGAGCACTTCACTGTACCTCTCTCTTCTCTTCCCTAAGACAACTCCACAGAAGAAAGTTTTTTGCTTTGTTTTGTTCTATATTAACCACGAAATCCCAAGATGACTTGGATAGTTCGTGGGTCCGTTAAATTGCATTTTCATTGAACAGACCATGTTCATTTTGCAGCCACCTCCAGGTCCATTCCCCTCACCCAGGCCTCAGGATCCTCCCTCCCTCCAATATTGCATACCTGCCTAGACACCTCAAGAGTGTCTTACTTAATGCCTGAACAAGAGTCCCCTATTGAGACCCTACCAAGTCACCCCTTCCCTTAACCCCATACCCCAGCTGACCTGCGGAGAGATGTCGGGGCGGGGAATATTTCCTGGCAACCTTGCTGAGCCCTCACTATCCTTGTTAGTTCTGGGAACGATGCAAGCTCTTCCTGATGCCAGCGAAGCACCAGCCAGACCACGCCTTCCTTCGCCACGTACCCCTGCGCAGGATCCACCTCTTCACCCTGGTGCAGATCATCTGCCTGGCTGTGCTCTGGATCCTCAAGTCCACTGTGGCCGCCATCATCTTCCCTGTCATGGTAAGGTGGGCGCGGGCTTCGCTGCTGCTGGGCAGGTTGGTCTAGACAGGCTTCGCCCAGGAGGTCCAGCAGTGCCGCAAGTGCGTCACCTTGCAGCACCCTTAGCTTTCTCCCCAGCTTGGTTTGGTTCCTTTGGGTGACAGAAGCCAGTCCAGAACAAATTTAGAGTTGTGAGGCCAGACCAGGTGGAGGATAGAGAGAAGGGCGGAGGAAAGAATGTCAGTGTGGCGGGTGGATCCTGCAGTGACAATCGGCATGCTGAGGTCCCCACCCAACTTTCCTGCTGTGGGAAGGCCGGTAATGTGGAATTGGAGAAGCTGGACACATTCAACTTTAGACCCAAGTTCTCTACTGCCAAACCTCAAGCCAATCTCGAAAACCGACGCATACTAAGTATAAATCTTCTCCCCGTGCAAAATTAACGAATTTGAAATGGTAAATAGTATGTTAGTGGTGCAGGGAGGGAATAGAATCAGAGATCAGGAATTTCAAAAACCCAATGACAATATAAAGTTTGAGCTGGGCATTCTTTGATTATTCTTTTATATTTTATGGAAATTTGAAGTTATTCCAGAATAAAAAGTTAAGAACAGTCACACCTGTAATCCTAGTGACTGGGGACGCTGAGGCAGGAGGATTGCAAGTTCAAAGCCAGCCTCCACAATTTAGAGAAGCCCTAAGCAACTCAGCAAGACCCTGACTCAAAATAAAATATAAAAAATGCTGGAGATGTGGGGGTAGGGTTGTGGCTTATAGGTGGAGAGCTTGCCTAGCATGCATAGGCACTGGGTTTGATTCTCAGCACCCCTAAAAATAAAGGTATTGTATCCATGTACAACAAAAAAATATTTTTAAAACAATGCTGGGGGTGGGATATGACTCTGTAGTTAAGCACTCTGGGTTCAAACCCTGGCACTAAAAATAAATAAATAAATAAATAAATAAGGGCTGGGATGTTGCTCAGTGGTTAAGCTTCCTGGGTTCAATTCCTGATACAAAAATAAACAAACAAATAAATAAAATAAAAATAAAAACAAACAAAAACCTGTTGCATCTGGCCCTCTAGATAACCCCACCAGAAGGAAGCTGCCCAGCCCTTGCTGGGGGACTGAAGTTTGGGGGCTAATGCTCCCAGAATGCGTGCAGACCTAGATTAGGAACCAAATCAAGGACACTTGTGGAAATGTGCACTCCTAGGAGATCTCTAGTAAGTGGTTCTTGACTCTGGCTGCTCTTTAAAATCTATGAAATCAACTAAATCAAAATATCTTCAGGAATCCCAGGCTTTGGTATTTTAAGTAAGTCTACAGGGAGCATAAATATGCAGCCAGGGTTGAGAACCACTACTACAGGGAAAGGGACATGGATCCTCCCCAACAGTGTCCTCCTGGGCCTCAGAGATGAGGAAGGGAAGGATAGTGATAGTCATGATTGCCAGTACTGAGTGCTGTTCCACTCAGCCCACACCAGCCCCTGAAGCACTACTAGTTACCCCTATTTTACAATCAGAAAGATGAGGCTCAGAGAGCACAGGGAGTGACAAACTCAGGACAGGCAGAGCAAGATCTGCACCCCTCCTGGCCTTTTTTTTTTTTTTTTTTTTTTTTTGGTACCCGGGATTGAACTCAGGGGCACTTGACCACTGAGCCACATCCCCAGCCCTACTTTGTATTTTATTTAGAGACAGAGTCTCACTAGGTTGCTTAGTGTCTTGATTTTGCTGAAGCTGGCTTTGAACTCTCTATCCTCCTGCCTCAGCCTCCCAAGCTGCTGGGATTACAGGCATGCACCACTGTGCCCAGTGCTCCTGATTATTTTTAAATACAGTAGAATTCACTCTGCTCTGTAGTTTTGGCAAATGTAAAGAATGGTGATTCTACCTCTGTAGTTGTGATACAGAACAGCTCTATCACCTCCAAGTTCTCTCTTGCTGCCCTATATGTAGACAGCCCTTTGCCCACCCCTGTCCCTAGCAACCATTGATTTGCTCAGAGTCAGGAGTTTATTGTTGTTGTGGTGTTTTGATTTTTTTTTTTTTTGGTGGTACTGGAGATTGAACCTAGGGATGCTCTGCCACTGAGTTAATCCCAAACCCTTTCTTAGTTTTTTATTTGGGACTGGGTCTCTCTAGGTTGGCAAGGCTGGCCTTGAGCTGCAGTTCTTCTACCTCAGCCTTCCAATTAGGTGTGCACCACATGCCCTGCCAGCTCCAAGAGTTTTTAAACCCAGGTTTATCTGATGCCTGGGCTCTACATGCTCAAAAAGTTATATCAGAGAGGAACCAGTATTAAATCCAGCTAGAAGGGTTTGCTTCCTTACCTCATTTAATGGCCAGTTTTCAGTGGTAAAAGAGACAATATGTATGGGTCCACTAAGTTTGTTAAAAGATCACTTATTTCTCCCTTTAATTTGTTCATTCTGAACAGAACCAAACTTTCTTTAGAAATTCCATATAGTTTACTATATTTTATTTGGCTTTTGTTAATGGAGAGTTTGACAGTTCTTAAAAATGGGAACAGAGCAATTCACAATGGCCAGGCTATAGAACCAACCTAGGTGCCCTTCAATAGATGAATGGATAAAGAAAATGTGGTATATATACATGAAAAAATATTACTCAGCCATAAAGAAGAATGAAATAATGGCATTTACCAGTAAATGGATGGAACTGGAGTCTATCAGGTCAAGTGAAATAAGCCAATCCCCAAAACACCAAAGGCTGAATGTTCTCTCTGATGTGTGGATGCTAACACACAACAAAGGAGGGTGAGGAAGGGAAGGATAGAAGTTCATTGGATTAGACAAAGGGGCATGAAGGGACAGGAGGAGGGATGGGAATAGGAAAGACAGTATGAATCAGATATAACTTTCCTACATTCATATATGAATACATGACCAATGCAACTCCATATCATGTTCGACCACAAGAATAGGATCCTAATTAGAATAAGTTATATTCCATGTCTGTATAACATGTCAAAATGCACTATACTATATCTAAAAAGAACTAATTTAAAAAAGAAAAGAAATGCGAATAGAGAGGCAGTGAGTCTCAAAGTGTGATCCCTGGGCCAGCAGCACTAACATCACCTGAGAAACTAATAGAGATACAGATTCTCAGGCTCTACCCCAGACCTGATGAATCAGAAACTTTGGGGTGGTACCCAGCAATGTTGTATTAACAAGCCCTCCAAGTGACCCGAAAGCACATTCAAGTGTGAGAACCACTTAAAAAATGACTGTGGTTCTCCAGCCATGGTCTCTGTGCTGGCTCCCCACTTCAGCTGACACAGGCTCTGTCCCACACAGTTACTGGTAGTCATAGTCACTCACCTGAGAAGCCAAAGGAGAGGAACCAGGGGAACAGGGAAGGTGAACATGGTTTGTGGGGACTTTGGAATGGCTCCAAAGACGGATCACAAGAGCTGCCTGAACTCAGCTGACTGAGGAAGAAGGAATTATTTAACCCATTATTTTCTCTGAACTCCCACAAAACTTCAGCCTCTCTGTCTGTTTTCCTACCACAGATCCTGGGCCTCATCATTGTCCGAAGGCTTCTGGACTTCATCTTCTCCCAGCATGACCTAGCCTGGATTGACAACATCTTGCCAGAGAAGGAGAAAAAGGAGACAGACAAGAAGAAGAAGAGAAAGAAAGGGGCCCATGAGGATAGCGATGAGGAGGTGGGGAAGATATGAGGCCTGGGCAGAGTCGGGGGACCAATAGATCCTTCTGCTTCCACCAGGGCCAGTGAGAGGGTGGCTTTTCATGCAACTGTAAAAGTGCCTGCACTCAGTCCAGGATAAGCTAGGGCTTCTACTTGGCCTTGGTCTGGGGTGCTGAGAGCTCCTCTGTTCTTGTAAATGTCCTCAGGTTGGGCCAGAGCCAGTGAGCCTCCCTGCCCAGGAGCAGTTGACTAGCAGAGCTCACTCCCATTTCTGGTGTTCAGGGCCATTGTCAATAGTGGCACAGATTCCTGAGAGAATGGCCCAGGAGATGGTTCCAAAATGGAAGGCCTTTATAAGGAGTAACCTCCAAAGAATGGAGCAGGCCTGTGGGGAAAAGTCTGATGGGGACTTTTTAGTAGACTGGACTCTGGGATAGGCAGGAGGAACTAGAGATAAGCTTTGCTTGGGCCTACTCCGAAAGTATTGGGAACAAAAATTGGGGGAGAGGTATGTGTCCTCACTGAAAAGAGAATGGCTTCCTCTTCCATGCCTGGGACCACCTGATTGCCCCATCTGTCCCTCTCCTCTCCCATGCTTCCTCCATGTCCCACCCCCAAACACTCAGTCAACAGACAAGGAGCCAGCCCAGAAATTATAGCAAATCTCAGAACATTAGGCAGAAAGAGTATCTGGTTCAAATGTTCATTACAAATGGTGACACTGTCCCTCCAAAAGGAAGTGTTTTACCCAACATAGACAGACAGCTAAATGTCTAAGAGGGAATTAGGAAATCATTCTTGAACTCATGCTTTCCATATACTGAACTGCCATGTCATTTCCTGAGACCATGCTTGACTCCCAATCTCCCAGTCTTCCAATTGTACCTGAATCACAATCCTTTATCCACCTTGTCCTGTTTTCCTGGGATCTCACCTTTTGCAAATTAAAGCTGTTCACAGGCAAATCCTTGCTCACTGGTTGGTGATTAAACCATCCTTTGATGGTTGTAATTGGCCAAAACTTCCCCTGTCTTGCAGGAAGGGAAGGTCTCTATTTATTTATTTATGTGGTGCTGAGGATTGGAACCCAGTGCCTCACATGTGCTAGGCAAGCGCTGTACCCCTAAGCCACAACCCCAGCCCCCTTATAATTTATTCACATGTTTTTTGTAGATAATTTTCAAAAGTAGATTCTAAAAGAAAGAAACAGAGTCCAGGTGTCTTTTAAAGACAAATGCTTTTTTTTTTTTCATTGGTTCATTCAGTAAATATTAGAGTGGATCTCACATGTCAGGAACTATTTCAAGGTTGAGGGTAAAGCATCTCAGGATTATATGATACATTTAATGGAAAAAATGGGATTCAATGTTCACAAATTCATTTTATACATGTCTTTATAGCAACCCAGATATTGTGAGGGTCAGTCCCAAATGACTGGTTGCATGATAGATGAAACTGTTCTGAGGAGCGACATTCCTGGATGAGTTTCTTTCCTGTCTACTGGGTATCTAAAATGGTGGGCCCATTGTGTCCATTTTTCCTTAGTGGGTCCAAGAGCATTTGCAGCACCCCCTGTTTAGTCTGGATGTGGAGGAATGGTGGTTTACACATTGTGGATGTATGCATTTTCCATTTGGCAAGAAAGACAAAGTGGTTGTGTTGGTGTTTATCAGCTTTTCCCACTGTTTTTCTCCAGCCCCAGTTCCTCCCTCCCTCAGTTATAAAGATTCCCATGGAAAGTGTCCAATCAGATCCCCAAAACGGTATCCACTGCATTGCCAGTAAGTAAAACACATGGTGTCTCTCCCTTCTTACTACTAATCCTCCACCTATTTTCCTAAGGAGCTTCCATCTGAAACTCAGGGGATCTAATCATTTTAGATGCCAGAGTGATGAACCCAGCCTAATTCCATCTTAAGATTGGGAGCCATCTCGTCACAAAGTCATGAAAAGTTAATTTCTGTTTTACAATAAATTACTGTGATTTCTAAACTTGCTTGGAATGCCAGCCCATGCCTTGAACTCACCCATGCCTGGTTTTCCCTGACCAGATAACAACCCTCTCTGAAACCTTAGTGGCGCCTCAAATTCTGGTGTTGGGATCTGAATTTACTCCCTAACTTGAAATGTTGTATTACCCTTGTCAAAATCCTATTATCTGTAAGTTCTCAAGACACCCCCCTTTTGTAACTTTTTGTGCTATAAAACCATGTTCCTAGAGAGCTGGGGTACTGTTCTCTAACCCAAGGATTTCGGGAGAGACAGTCCCGGCTGGAATTACAAGCTTGCTTTAATTTGATTTAAAATTGGAGTCGGTGGTCTTTTCTTTGCGTCGTGGTTAAACAAGAGGACTCCTGTGATAGGCAGAGGTTAAAGTGAACTGGGCCATGAGGGTTGGGACTCCAACCAGATGAAAATTTCAGAGCACACCCTGAAGTCTCCTCCTTCACTTTAGGCAAAACTCCCCCATTTCTGCCTTTCCTCTGGCGCCTGCAGCACCATCCTGCCCTTTCCTGCCTTATTTCAGACCACATCAGTCCAAACCTGGCCCATGGAGCTGCCCATATCTTCCAGTCATTGTTGAAATGGTTACAAGCTCAAATCAGAGCTGAGTGTTCCCCTTTAGAGAAATAGGTAGGCATCTGGGCAGCAAGTCAGAACTGAAGGTCCTGGGGTTGGGCTGTGATTCTGTATGAAGCACAAGCATCCTCCATGTGCTGAAAGAGAAGGCTTCCAATCAGGCATTGCTTACAAAGACCCTGCAAGATTCTCAAACTGCTTCTAATCCTTCCCAACTGGTGGACAGTGCTGTCATTAAGACCACACAAATATCCTGATCCAAGTCCTGACCTGGTGCTCCTAAGATAGTGCTTACTTACCACTGTCCTCAAAGACAGAGACTGGAGGAGGTCACCAGGACTCCTGCCAGGACCCTCCAGAGCCCCAGAGGCTTCCCCTCACCTCTTTCCATCACATTGCCTCAAGGTGTTTTTTGTACTCCTCACTCTCCCTCCACCTGCCTCCTGCCTCAACCTCCCAAGCTGCTGAGATTACAGGCATGTACCATGTACCACTCCCCATTCCCTTTTGTTGACTTCCATCATCCTTCCTCTCTTCTCCCTGGGCCTCCCCATGCCTTACTTCCTCCTATCCTGGCTCAGATCCCTCTCTGTGAAGATTAATTGACCCAGAGCCACTCATCTCTGTGAGGCCCCAGTATTCCTCTGGTATACTGTTGGCCATGGATCACAAAATAGAAAAGAGGAGGAATGGTGGGGAAGCACGGAGAAATAGGATGCTCTCTGGTGTGACTCTCAAACCTGCTTCACATCTGACTTTTTCTTCCAGGAAAAAGATCTTCCAGTTGGAGTTATTCACTCTGATTCTTCTTTCAGTGGCTCAGAACTCGATCGAAGGTAAGGGTTATTAGGTAGATTCCTTGGGTATTAGCTAAGAGACTAAGTAATGGTCAGGTTGGGTGACTAGGATTTCCCAGTCCAGCTGACATCTTAGTAGAGGAAGACAAAGGCTGACCAACCTGATTATCGGGGGTCAAGTAACAAATGTGTCTTCTTACTGACATCAATCACACAGTGACAAGCAACTTTCATGTACTGATAGAGTACACAACTTTAGAAAAGGAAATTTAAAATATTATGTAGAATACTGAAAGTAAGTTTTGAAAAGGAAACAACATAGAAGAAAGTTAGACATAGCTTAAGTACATGTTAATAAAAGCCCAGATACTAAGGATCAATACACTAGGTTCACAGGGTGCAATGGCGCACACCTCTAATTCAGGCAGCTCAGAAAGCTGAGGCAGGAGAATCACGAATTTAAAGCTAGCCTCAGCAAAATTAGGTGCTAAGCAACTCAGTGAGACCCTGTCTCTAAATAATATACAAAATAGGACTGGGGATATGGCTCAGTGGTCAAGTGCCCCTGAATTCAATCCCTGGTACCAAAAACAAAAACAAAAGCAAACCCACTAGGTATTCTAATACTCTATGGGGTCACATAATAGCAGGGCCAATTATCACTGGTCATAAGGAAAGCTACTTAAAAATCAAATATTAAATGAAGATAGAAACAGTAAAAAAAGGATTCAAGACCCAGATGCCAGGAGTCTCCATGCCAACAATGTGATTCCATGGTGTTCTTGATGGTTAACTATCCATGAAAAAAGCAGAACTGCTTGATGATTATATAGGGGGCCCAAAAATGAAAAAGAATTCAGGGGCAAGGAAGTCTCTGCCTATTATTACTAGGGAAGCTGGCAGGGACTGTGCTAACCCTAATGTATTCCCTAAATTGGACAAGGAGTCACTCTGTATAAGATCCAATTCGTAAGTGTAGAGGTATCCCAATTATAGAGGCAGGTAATTTTCCATCCTTAGATGGCACTCAAGAGTTTTTCAGGAAGCATATAGGATCTCCTGAATTTGGGGGCAAAGCTGCTTCACAATGTCAAAATGGAGATACTTTTCACCAGTTCAAACCTCTGAGCTGCAGGCTCAAAGACACTATATCTCAGAAGTGTCACATCTCAAAATATGTTCCTTCATATCCCATAACTCCAATCTGGGCTCCTAAGCCCTTACTGACACTGATCTTTATGTATGGATAGTCACAGAATAACGATTTGTCTATTCTGATTTATCTTCATTTAAAAAATAGTCTACACCAAATCAAATCTCTTAATTGCCCCAATTTTAGGCAATGGAAAATTTGGACCAGGAAAGGGCATTTCCAAATGCCTGATAAATTATACAGAGCTATGGGAAGGGGTCAGAAATGGAAAAAATAAAGTCATAACTGTGGATGATATTTCCCAATCACACTGGTGCCTTACCAAGTCTATGGAATTAGATGGAAGCAAAGATTACTAAATAGCAGGATTTTGCTTTGGTAAAGAAAAAATGCTCAGCAACATGACTCAGTTAAATAAAGATTGAGCATCAAAGATATACCAGGCATGATAGTTGGTCCCTGGGGTTGTAGAGGGACATGTAAACAGAAGGGGAGTACCATGTGCAAGAACAAGAATGGGTACACAGGAGAGAAGGCCAGTGATCTAAGGAAGGTTACTAGCCTTATCAGGAGAATCTACCACAGATAAATAGGACCCTGATAGAAATACAGTGTGGGACAGAGCATCTTAGGCAGTGGGAACATGTCTGAAGCACCATTTGAAAAAATACAACACAAAGAGGGGACAGAGTGGCAAACTAGGAAAGTAGGCAGGAGTTCAAGCATAGGTGGTCCTGTCTTGCTTAAGAGCTTGGATTTTATTCTTTAAATAATAGGGAACCAGTCAAATTTGTGATTTAGAAAGTTCGACTTCATAGCAATTTGAAGAATGGGTTGAAAAGGCATGAGATCAGTTCAATGGCTGTGGCTAAAAGCCCAGCAGACAGGATGCTTTGTTCCCTGGTGTGTTGAGAATTCATAAGCAAAGACAGAACTGTTTGCATTAGAGCCCTGCTCTGGAGAATAGGGTTCAAAACACCCCAAATTGGCTAATCATTCTTCCCTCCTCCTCTTTCTTGTTCAGCATCACCTTGCACTTCAAAATCTCCTGTCCAACTTCACCTGCTTTCAGCTACCCCAGGAGCCCAGTCTTCATGGTGCCACAGGTGAAGATAGAGATGGAGTCTGACTATGACTTCACAGACATAGAAGAATATGGAAGAGAGGCCCACGGTGAGACCACCCTTTAGGATGATGCAGCTTCTCCCCGCCTGGGCAAGGGCCTGGTTTAGTTTTAATTGAGTCTTAACTTCTCTGTGCCTGTCTCTTTATGTACCGGAGTGGTCCTTCTGCCCTATAGAAAACTGGCCATCCTTCAGTGGAAAGTCCTACTTAGATGCAAAGCTCTCTTCATCCCTTTGTAGTTATTAAAATATCTAAATGTAAACATTATACCTTATTTTAAAATGCAGTTCAGCATAGAAAACATAACATTTCTTTTGAAATGAAAAAAAAATGCTTGCCTCTTAAAAACATAAGATAAATGGGCAATAGTCAATTTTATATTTAAGACAAGTATTAATTAAAAATTTTAAAGGTTAGATTGAAATCTAGGTGGTTTTAAAGAACTTTTAACATATTCTTACATCAATAGGCCAAGGCTGGAATATTGTTTTGCAAAATTGCATATTTTTATGCAATTTTGGTTGGCTTTAACAGGTTGACATGTTATTACTTCTTCAAGCAGAGTGATGCTGGAAAGGTCCTACCTTTTCTCTGAATCTCATTCAGCTAAGTTTGAATTTGCATTGTGGGCCTTGGTCTAGAAGTGTGACTGGGGCTTTTCTAGATTGAAAAGCCAGTTCCAAAAGTCTGTTAATGAAGGAACCAATGCATCAGAGTGGATAAAGTTTTTTAAAATGAAATAGTCACTGTTAAAGTGAACCTCAAATCATATGAGATCCACAAAGTGATCCTTTAAATTTATTCACTTTTTTTTTTTCCACACCTGGATTCCAATTTCTTTATTTGGAATAGGTCCTTCCTACAAGTTTTCAATGACTGATCCCCAAAGTCAGATTTCTATTTACATGAACATTACATGTTAGGCAGCTAACACTTTGGAAAATTATAACTTGGCAATGTTAGTCAAACCAGTCCTTTAAAAGAATGATTAGAAGCAATTTGGGTAGATTAACACCAATTATTAATGAAGCAGACCCTTTCCACGTTAAACTTAAAAAGATTAGACATTTTAGGTTCAATACACATTGAATGAGTGAGCACCAACTGTTTATGTAATACCTGCTATTGCCAATAACCACATGCATCTGACATTTTCTTCTCCAAAACAACTATGGATTTGAATCTTCCTTAAATTTAACCTCAGAGCTCTCTTCCAAGGAATACTGCCAAGAGGTAAAGCTCTAAACTTCTACCTGATAGCAAAATTATTTAGCTGTTCACTAATCCAGAACCATCCTATTTAAGTACAAAGTCTATCTTCATTTGTACCAATCCTGGGAGAGCTAACAATCTACCCTTAACATTTAAGTTTTAAAGCCTGGCTGATTTGAAATAGTACTGTCCCCATTAAATTGTAGAAATGTTATGGATTCAGGAGTAAATGTGCTTGATTAATAAAACAAACTGGAAAAGTATGATGTTAGCTTTTTGTTGTAAATTGATCCATGTAATTTTTACCTTATATATCCTTTATATTTTGTATATACATGAACATTTTAAGTCTTTAACAGGTTGACATGTTATTACTTCTCCATGCAGTAATTTTTTCCACTTTTAATGTAACTAAAATTCAATAAAAATTAATCCTGTCTGCTCATCTGACTCCATGTTTAATAATTTAGGTAAGTCAGCAGGCAAGACATATAGACATAAGCTATACCTCACTTACAAAAATATCGCCATCAAACTAGCAAAAGAATAAAGCAAGCTAGAAGAGCACAAGGAAGGAGCAGATCAACTCCCCAGAGTTCTCTCCCTTTTGGCTTCAAACTGCCTAGAGCAGGAGCTACTTGCATGAAAGTGCAGATACATAGCTGTGATTCATAATACGCAGGGGCCTATCTCAAGTGTCAGGATGTGCACCACACCATCCCTAATCAAACTGATACTTTAAACACATGCACAGGCATGCACGTGCACACACACACACACACACACATGCACAGACACACACACAGGGTGGGCAGAGGTGGTGATGGGGAAATAAATTTACTTTTACTATGAATGTGTGTGTTGAGAACACAGAAAGGAGAAAATCCTTTGTAGTGATGTGTAAATTGAATGCCTGGTTTAGAAAACACTCAGAACCATTTCAATGAAATTTACAGATTAAGTTCCTAGTTTGACATTACCTGCTGGGATTAAGGACTAGGCTGGTTTCTTCACAGTTCTTTAAACCAATTTGTTTAAGGTTAGAGGTTGGGTGTTACCAAATATAGAAATAACTAGATTATATCCAACGAGAAAAGTTCACTCTGGTTAGATTACAACTAAGACAGTAGTAGGAGACAGTATTTCAGAAATTCATTCCACACCAGACAAATGTGTTTTATTTAAAAAAACAAAAACAAACAAACAAAAAACCCCCACCTTTCTTTAAAAAACAAAAACACACACACCAAAAAAACTTTCATCAGAAAGTCTAAATTCAATATTAACTCAAGCTCTTTAAAATCTTTCAGGAAAGCTGACAGAAAAGCAGGCAGCTGTGACAGTTCTTTGGTGGAAAAGTTGCATATTTACACCAGCTGCCCAGTGATTATCAAGCCCAAGTGTTGTTTTTCAAAAATAGGTTTCAAGACATAACAAAGAACCATACAGATACCCACTAAAATACAAAAACTGAATAATAAGTTTAAGGATATAGCAAAATGGATTTAGCAAAAAGGATATAGCCAAATATGGCAATACACATGAATAATTTATAAAACAAGCCTTTCAATCCTAGAAAACTACAATGGAGAGAACTCACTGAAGGCCAAGGAACACAAAGCAATAGCAAATGGAACAACCCAAGACATTTCCTAACAACGAAGCCAAAAAATAAAAAAAAAAAGACAGCTAGTAATGTAGTTTTTCTTTTTTCTAGCCAATTCAGTTCTCTTTGGATAAATTTGGTTATTGATCAATATGTATAAAAATTATGGTGACTTTTTTTTTCCTCCACTCTATTACCATTTCTTCCTTTCCCCTAATTTTCTCTAACATTTTTTTTTTTTTCCTTTGGTTTGACCAGTTGAACTCAAAAGGCTTGGAACCTAAAATGAGTATCAACTCTTTTTGGAAAAGCACTTGGGAAATGCAATCCTAGAAAAGGCAAAGTTTTAACCGGAGTGGCTTGACAAAGTTAAGCATCCATTCTCGATGTGACAAGTCTCTTATGTTAATCACTAGATTAATGGCTTCTCTTGGCTAGATCATATGATCCAGCATGACACTGGAGTGTTCCCTGGTGAGGTACTGCAGAGCCATGTGTGCACAAAACCCACCCATTTTAAGCTTTCAATAAATACAAAGCATCATTTTAAACCATTTCAGTAAAATAAATTAAAAGTATTGCATTTCTAATGACCTGCTTGATCACCTCGTGGACTGGCTTGAAGTGTTATTCATGGCAGAGTAGACACAACAGTTAATTGGTGGCTACTCCAAGTTCTTTAGACTTCAGCACTTCCCGCTCTTCAGGCCTCAGCACTTTTTTTGCAGCAATAATGGTATTCTTCATTAGCATTGCCACCGTCATGGGACCAACACCCCCAGGGACAGGAGTGATATAACCGGCTTTCTTTCTGACTCCTACATGGAAACAAGACAGGCTGTTTCAGTTATGGCAAAAAACATATTATGAAAGGTGCATACAAAGGAAAAGCAATAATAAACATAAGCACCTTCAAAACTCATTAAAAGAAAATTATACCTACATCACTGAAGAGTAAATGATTTTGAACATCCTAGTGAAATAACATGCACATAACATGCAGTTGTTCAATGAATATCTAATAACCTATAGTTTTCTGGTCATACTTTTCTTCCATGTTAAATAAATTTAAAAAGAAACATCTTGGTAGGTTAACTGTAGGGGAGGTAGGGAAGGGTATAACTGATAATAAGCATCACCTCAACACCCGCCTACAACATTTTTTAAATATTGAGTATAATTTGCCCAAAGTACTAAAGGAATTTTGTACATCTAATAACCTGTAGTTTTCCAGCCATACGCCACGATTTTTTTTTTTTTTTTAATTTGGTTACCAAGGATTGAACTCAGGGGCATTCAATCACTCAATCACACATCCTGAGCCCTTTTTCATATTTAGGGACAGGGTCTCACTGAGTTTCTTAGGGCCTCACTAAGATACTGAGGCTGGCTTTGAACTTTTTTTTTTTAAGTATTCATAATTTTTTAGTTTTAGGTGGACAAAATAAAATATCTTTATATTTATGTGGTGCTGAGGATCGAACCCGGTGCCTCATGCATGCTAGGCGAGTGCTCTACCACTGAGCCACAACCCCAGCCCCAGGCTTTAAACTTTTGATCTTCCTGCCTCAGCCCCCTGAGCTGCTGGGATTACAGTATGCGCCACCATGCCCAGCTAATTTGTTGTTTTTATATATTTTTAAAATTACATCATTTACCTTCAAAGTCTACATCTCCAACCAACTTGGGTTTAGCAGTTATAGGATCCTGAATTCTGTTAATTCCCACATCAATGACTGCTGCTCCTTCCTTGATCATATCTGCTGTGATGAGATTTGGAATGCCTGGCCAATGGAGATAGGAATGATCAACTTAGTACTAAAAAGAAGCTTCCACCTGTCAGATTCTTGCCTTTCAATTTCTAGAGACTTAAAAGAGCTAATTAACACATTTTATAATAATATTAAAGAATCAAGGGACCATTTAAATTCATATAGTAAATGTAACTATTTTTAAGTGTAAGGAAAAACTTTCACCTCTCCAGTCTATAATGGAGTGCCAAAAACCAGTATCCCAACCATAACTCCACCCTCATCTTTGAAGGCAGCTCAAAAAATTATTATGAGGGGAAGGATGAATGGCAATGAGACAGGTGGATCCTAAGAGATGAGGTACAACTTCACTCTTCTGAAAAGAAGTCCTTCTAGCCCTCTCCCTTGAGTTCTTACCTGCAGCAGATATGACAATATCTGCAAGAATTGTGTGCTTCTTCAATTGTTCTTTGGGAGTGTATCGATGAGATATTGTAACAGTGGCATCACCTAAGGGAAAAAAAATAGATGTCTTGATTACTGAATCGAAGCTAATTAGATCTCAACTAATCAAGTCTTGTAGAAACTAATCTCTGAAAAATAACTGACTTAATGCTTGTGCCCTATTTTCTGAACATCTAATTGTCATTTGCTTTTTAAAATTAATACTCAATGTAGCTTTTACCCATTGGTCTTGGCTCTACCCTTTGGAATCATACATAATTAACTTTATTCCTTATTGTACTTCCCAGCTTTCCAAGAATATTATCTTGTCTAAGATATAATTGTCACGAGGTCACAAGTGTTATTTATTTATTTATTTATTAATTACCAGGGATTGAACTCAGGGGCACTTAAACACTGAGTTACATCCCCCTTTTTATTTTGAGACAGGAGTTCATTAAGTTGCCCAGGACCTCGCTAAATTGCAGAGGCTGGCTTTGAACTCGTGGTCCTCCTGCCTCAGTCTCCTGAGTCACCGTGATTACAGGAATATACCACCACATCCAGCTGCTTTTTTTGTTTTTTTTTTTTTTAAGTTAATGAAAAAAGATAGCTGGAAACATAGTTTGCTACTATTTCTGATATAATCATGTAAGGTTGTTATTGCAACAATTACATATAATAAATGGTTTATGAGGCTTTTTCTTAGATAAAATAACATAACTTGACATGACACATGGCAGTCATATCAAATCAACCCTTTGCAGTTGTCTGAGATATTTTTCTACCAAATGATACAGAACACTATATTAACTTCAAATAAGAAGTGCTTCTTAGCTCCAATCATCAAAGCCACACCGAAAAATTTCTAATTGCCTACAAAATGCTTTACTCAAAACTCAAATTGATTTCTGAGGTTAATTCCATAATAAATGAATTGAAACTCCTTGATGATACTGAGTAGTTTCTATACAAAAGTTACTCACTGAGTAAATGTTAACAGAATTACAACAAATATACTTCTGTTGTCTCTGAAGGTTCTCCAAAAAGGGAGAAGAGAACACTACTCTGAAAGCAATTTCCTTACCTCCAGGTCTTTCATGAGCCCCATCTGTGTGTAGTAACATTGCAATGGGCATTCCAACATTTTTTGATCTTCCAGCCACAACCACATTCTTCCCTAGGGTTGGAATACCTATGAAAAAATATATATTTTTGTATTAAAAGGAGTGTCAATCCATCTAAAATGTGCAAAAAAAAAAAAAAAAAACAGATGACCTGGGACACGAATCCAATTTTAATAGTGAAGGAAATCACTAAGTTTATTGCCTCATTAGTCAGTCAGAGTTAATACTTGCTCACATAGAAAGCTAAAAGAAAACAGGATAGCCAGGTGCAATGGCACATGCCGGTAATCCAGTGACTTGAGAGGCTGAGGCAGGAGGATTACAAATTCGAGGCCAGCCTCAGTAACTCACTGTCTCAAAATAAAAAAATTTAAGGGCTGGGGATGTGACTCAGTGGTAAAGTGCTTCTGGGTTCAATTACTAGTACCAAAGAGAAAAAAAAAAAAAGGAAACAAGAGAATATGCCCTATAAATTAGAAAATGTTATAAGAATGTAGACCACCACCACTATTAAATC